GGAAAACACATAGGCAACATCTTGCATAAAGCCAAGGCTCTACCACTTGCCAAAGACTATGCAGTAAAAATTAGAGAATAAACCCCAAAATGGTGTATGTATTACGGTTAGAACCTTGTCACATATGGAGCTCTAGTATGGTGGTCAAAAACACTAAACAAGCAGATTCAAACTAAACTACCAAGTAAACAAAGGCTAGCGTGTTTCAATATAATGGGGGCAATCATGCCTGCCCCGCTACAGCAGTGGAAACTCGATACATATTTATGTACAAAAGGTGGCTTTTGAGCGTCAACAGACTCCTGGGACAAAAGGAAATAAAGCCAGATTTAAAGAGGGGCCGCCGCAAAATTCTGGAAAAATTAAAATAAATGAGATGGCTATAACCGTACCAAACAAAATGAGAACAAAGCTCAACTTTAATATACCCTTCTAAGTGGATATAGATAATAGAGACCTTTGGAAGAAAGTTGGCCCCAGGCTCTAAGAAAGAGGCCCTAATATGGTACACAGATGGATCGAAGATATTAGCCCAGGGAGTAGGCATAGGGATCAAAGGTCCGAACTACACTCTTGCAAAGGCACTTGGACTAGCCCAAGAAATTTCCGAAGCTTAAGTTCATGCAATACAACTTTGAAGACAATAGTGAATAAAGAAAAATATGAACAGTGCACAAGTATATAACTCTCAGTAGGCCAGGCGGCCATAAAGGCACTAAACAGAGCAAGATTACCTTAAAGTGGGTTGCCGAACATGAAGGCTTATAAGGAAATTAAAAAGCTGACTAACTTAAAAAAAAAACCTTCTCATCCATGGGACCACGACCACAACTAAGCGCACCGGATTGTTTGCTTAAGTTGGAACTGTAAAATTGGACGAAGAAAGAAAAACTCAAACACCGAACACCAGGTATAAAGCAAGCTAAGAGATTCATAAATCTCTCAAAACGGACGGCGAATGAACTCCTCTCTCTCTCTCAGCAGGCAGGATTTGAAGAAAATCATAAGCCTCCAGATCGACCAATGCCCTCTTAACTGATCAGAAAATAAAAATAAAACGTAAATGTTAAAGTGTGGATCTTTTTACAGTAAGAGAAGCCGGGGTTTAATTATTACCCTAATCGTCCAAATTCAGCCTTTTCTTATTGCATTTTTATCATCTTCCGTTGGACATCCCATAAGCAATGCGAAGTACGAAAATTTTCTACCAATAGGAACGACTTTTTGACAACGTACAAAATAATCAACAAGTAAGCACCCGGCACATATTTTCAATTTGTAAACTCGTCCACACTGAGAAATGCTGCGCAAATTGTCTCAAGTTTTCCATCCGAGATGGGAGACCATAACCATGCGATTTTTGTCTGCAGAACTATAGAATTGTTTATAGATAATCGCAGAACATTGTCTAGACAAGAGTTGCGCGATTTTGTCTACGAGTGATGTACATTGTTATGTTCATATAATCTGATTTTTTTTTTTTTAATGGCTTTATATACTAGCGTATTAACAGTGCAGAGACTAAAAAAAGAAAAAACATCATATACAAAAAAGTATTTCATATATCCCTTTGTTCAAGAGGGCCTTCCCAAACTTGGCGTTTCACAACTCGCTAGCTGATTAAGCTAATTTTGTCAAATTATTAGCACTATCATTGTACAATGGTGCCCTAATAAAAATGGTTAAGATTGAGTGAGTATATCAATTCAATAGTTGAAAAGGATAATCCTACTCACAAACTGTTAAACTGTTTACAGTTAGTGAGTAGAACTATCCTTTTCTATAATATGGTAATATCCTAACACATCCCAAGGCCCCACACTTATATTTCAATTAAATCAACAATCATTATCCGATGACAGTTAAAAGTTTTAAATAACAATAATAATAAGAATGAAATATAACCATAAATACAACTAATCCTTATATCTTTCAAAACTTTAGTTACATTATGCTATTTTTTTAATTTAATTTTTAAAATTAATTACTCGGTTTGTAACACCCGTTCTATTGTACAATTCAAATTTGAATTCGCATTGAAATTATAATTCTATCGCTGGTGTAATAGTAAGATGGGTTTTGTAGGTAATAAAAATGTAATTACAAATTTCTTAATAGTAACCGAATAACCTGTCATGCCTTGATTTTCTTCAGGCAAGTAAGATTCAAATTTTCATATACTTTTTAAAAAGAAATTGCGATGTGATAGTTCAACACCTGATCTTCAATGGAGTATCAAAGAGAGGTCTATTAATAGTAAGGAGAGAGGTATTCACGTTTAAAAATAACCAGGATTATTATATGGCTAATACCAGCAGAGGGTAATCTTTTTGGTACTTCACCCTGAAACATCAAATATTATAGAACCACAAGATTAGTTAAATAATAAATCTGTAAATATAAAAATTATTTTGTTCCACGTGTAACCTCTAATAACTGGCAGTTTGTTTTTTTCTACTATTGTATTGTTAAAGCCAAATTATAAAAATCAAGCTCGTTTTTCACGCGGATTTACGACTTTCACAAGCGAAATACGATTTAATAATAATTTTCCGGTAGGTAACGGTTATTAATAAATAAGTAAGAGTTAATGAAAAATAGGTTGTAGTTTAAATATGCAATACATACATAGTCCGACCAGAAGATGAAATTCCGACTGAACAAGTGAAAGTAAAGAAAAATAATGGCAAACCACTAGCCAGGCATTTATTCCCAGATTTAAATTTTTATTATTTCAAACAAAAATGTTAAATATCAACTTTATCGATTTTATTTTATTTATACCTTAACCAAATCTATATAAATAATATAAACAACAAACTGTCAGTGCTGAGCTGACGATGATACGTTCCACTGCAAATCGATGCCTAATCTTGCGAAATATGAATTAAAGCACTATACATATTATACTGTCATGGAGATTATGAAGGTGGGGTGAGTATGTGGATTCACTTTTTGAAAATTATGGTTAACTATCAATACCAAAAATACGCTTCTAAAGTTGAAGAATTCCTAACCACTAACGATTGTAAAAAAATAAAAAAGACCCCACTTAAAAATTAAAAACTATATTTCTGACAATCAATAACAAATACTGACTTTCTATTCTTAAATTACCAATATACGGTTAAAAACTAATACCAATGAATCCGAAATCCCAAATTTTATGCGGTAGGTCAAAATCTACAAAGAAAACAAACCTACAAGACCAGTCCTTTTATAATTCTCCATGCCACAATTCGCGATAAAAATATATAAAATATTAAAACTCACACCAATTTCAACACTACATTCGTATTAACAATTCTTTAGAATTTATCAATTTTACATTGGAAATAAATAAATGTGGTTGTTCAAACTTTTCAGACTAAAAAACCTCTGTCCATAATAAATAACCTAATTGAAACAGACGGATATAGAAAACCCATCAAAGACTATGATACCAGCAGATTCTTATCACCTACTGACCCAAAAAGCTGCTGGATTCATAGACCGTATGTTGAAAGTACCATTAATACTTACAAACAATTTAAACCTTGGATAAAAACAACGATTATCAAAAAAATATGAGGTTAACTATCAAAAAAAGTAAAAGAGAAGATTTTAGAGTAGCTTTTGGAGGTGAGTGTGTGTTAGGAACCTCCTCTCAAAATCTAAAAACACAAAAACAAACAACTTGTCAAAAAGCGGGGTTTACAAACAGACTTGTAATTATTGCGATATTAAAGAGTTAAAGAACACTTGCCTAAATTGAACAAAATTTCTCAATTCAACAACCATCTAAACGAAAGAAAACTCAATTTCAATTTAAATTTAAATACAACAGTGTTACACAATTTCAACAAAGGGAGAGAGAGTGTGAGTAAGGGAGAGCGAGGGATAGGGATAGGGAGAGGGAGAGGGAGAGGGAGAAAGAGTGAGAGAGAGAGAAAGAAAGAAGAGAGAGTAAGAGTGTTAATAAGTAAGTGTGAGAGTGTGTCTAAGTGACTGAGAAAAAGAGTGAGAGTGTGAACAAGTGAGAGGGAGAGTGAGAGTGTGAATAAGTGAGTGAGAAGAAAGAGGAGAGTGTAAATAAATGAGTGAGTGAGTGAGTGAGAGTGAGAGAGAGAGAGAGAGAGAATAAGTGAGCGAGAGAATGAGAGTGTGTGTATAAGTGAGCGGGAGAATGAGAGTGAATAAGTGAATGAGAGAGAGCGAGAAAGAGAGGGAGGGAGAGGGAGAAATAGAGATTGAGTGTGAATAAGCGAGTGAGAGAGAGTGATAGGACAGGAGAGAGTGTGAATAAATGAGTGTGAGAAAGAGAGGGAGGGAGAGTGAGAAAGAGAGATTGAGGGTGAATAAGTGAGTGAGTGAGAGAGGGATGGAGAGAGAGTGATCGGACAGCGACTTCTAGTATGTTCAGTTTCGAATGAGTGGGTGCAGCCCGCGCTATAAAATTAAAAGTCGAAATTATGGGGTGGGTGTGCGTGTCGGGACTGTTTTCAACTATTTATCCACCTGTTGCAATCTGTATCGGTCGGTGGCCGCCGAGGGAGACGTGATACCATCACTCGCCTTTTTCGCAGACGCCCAGAAAACGATGATATACGTAGACGACATGCTAGGCACATTTCGAACAACAAATACAAGTGTTAAAAACGAAGGTCGACCCATGGCGTCACAGGCAATTTAAATTTCCTGCTCCGTGAGTCATACAGGTGGGAAGAGGGGGTGGAAAGTGAAAAGGGGGTGTACGAAAAAGAAAAAATATCTTATGCGGCTGATGTTTGTAGTTAAGGCTTTATCTGGATGTGCCACCCCCCTCCATTATCCTTCATTGCACATTCCAGTCGACTGGCTCGCCTACAAGTCTGTTCCACCTTACTCGAGAATCAGGAGTAATCAAAACATAAAGACTATTAAACTTACGCACACACACAAAGTTCAAAAAAAAAGCATGAGGTGGGGGCAATTTCTCACTCGTTCAAAATAAAAATAAGTGAAAATAAAAAGACACTTACTTTTATTAGGTTGAGCGCCTTGTGACTTCCTCCGCGGCATATTCCTTGGAAGAGGACTGGCGACTCCTCTTCGGTCACATATCCTATCTGGGATTTTGCAACAATCCTGGTGAACGTCCAAGAGGCGCACAGCGCGGAAATGTTTCGACGGTAGATACGAATGAGTCCGCCCAACGGCACGAGTGCCACTGTTCAGTCAGTGTTCACTGTTCAGTGTTCACATCACAAGCGGATGACGGGCAGGGGCAGAGCTGAGAGCGCAGAGGTGCTCCTCGACTTCAGGGCCGGTTGTGCAGTGTGGCGATTCATGGCGGGCAGGGGCAGAGCTGAGAGCGCAGAGGGGCTCCTCGACTCGTGTGCCGGCCCCCTTTCGCTTCGGCTTGACGTCATCCCCGGGCCGGAGATCGGAACGAGCGCGACACACGCGGACAAATCCTGCAACGCAGACACTCCGCCAGATCCCGTCTCCTGTTGCCAGGCGTTTCTCTTCACCACGCTGGGCGCCGGTCTTCAGGCTTCCGCTTCACATACGTCCGCTGCCGCTCGTCACGCGAGGAATGAGGATTGGCAAACAAAAATAATCCAGCTACATTTAAATTTTCCCTTAATGAAAGTAATAAGGAGAGGGGTAAAAAGGGGGCCAATATGGACTCTCTGGGTCCTGAACCATACGGGGCTTAGCTTCTTGAAACAAGAGGATACATCTTAAAATGGATCCTTAATGAGTCCAAAACCTGGTGGAACAATACACATCTATGAGGCATGCAAAGAGATTCATAAAAGGACCATCTGCAAAACCTACAGAAGAATTACTGAAAGGCAACTGAACCAGGATTCTGGTTGGACTCCTAACAGGGAACTGCCATTTAAGAAGGCATATGCATCGCATAGTACAGACAGAAGAAACACTGTGCAATTAGTGCCAGGAAGAGGAGGAGACCGCAGACCACATTCTATGTTAATATGAAGGTCTATGGTAGGTGCAGGTTCTTGCAACTATGACAAGAAAAACCACAAGCAAGATCCTACATAACTGCTAGCATTTGCACAGAAAATTATTAAGATTCAGATCTTTATAGTGCGGACCCAGCTTTAGGGTGACCCATCAGTCCACTACTAATTCGACATTACATAATTCATTTCATTTTAATCATTTTCACAGGAAGATGGATCCATTCCAAAATTTCATGGAGCATAAATTCATAAATATGCAGACTTTGAAAGGGCTTAAATTGTTAAAGGAATGTTCTTGTTCCGATTCTTATATGCATAACTATAAATCTTCCGCACCATTTTTCTGTTATTTTTAAACTAAAAGTTGGGTCAGGTGGTTTAATGCAATTAATTCATTTTTTAGCATCGGCTGTAAACTTTAGTATCAAAAGCTAAAGTGGAGAAATATAATTAAGATAAAAGATATATTAAGAAATAAGGAAGAAAAAATCAGGTACACCCTGAGAAAAATAGATGTAGATAGTTGGTTATTCCTTTAGAGGAGAGAAAATGCAATGACTGTTCCAAGGTTCAGGTGCAACTTGACTATCATATTTTCATACACCCACTTTTATAAGATCAACATGAACCAATATGTTCATTTATACGAAGGAAATAGGGCAAAAACAGCTTTACATTTTTACACTTCTTCAATAGCAATATTTGTTTCTACAAGCAGACAACTTACGGCATACTCATATAATAATTAATAAAAATTATTGTGTTGATTGATATTATTTTTAAAATAATATTTTAATGTTATTTGGTAGACAGACACCAAATAGCTGTCTTTGAATATTTAATAACAATACATAAAAAAATTTTAATGGCTATTTTATAATATTTGCCAGAGCACTTGTATTACAAGATAAAAAATATAATTAATAATCTGTAAATAAAACTTTAGCCGGTAACCATCAATTTGTTTTATAACTGTCCAGGTATAAAAAAATAACCTTCTTGCAGTAATGGTAGGAATAGTAAATAAAAATCATAACTAGTTTTAATTTACATTTTTTCTCATTTAAATACAATTACAGGGATCTAACAATACAAAAAATCTTAATATATATTTTTAGAATCCGGGTGGGAAAGAGTATCAAAAGTGTGACCACATCATATGGCCCTTGACAATTATTTTTATTTTACAAATTAAGCTCTTGACTGTTATTTAAAACAAAAAACGCCTTTAAAAACAGTCATCTGCTATGAATGTCAACATACACTTCTGATAATCGTTTGTCCAAGTTAGTGTTACGCAGGCTTCGGTTGGGTGTTTTTTTATACATATGTTTATGTATAAATAATTTATAATTATATATCAATCTTGTGATATTCTATCAAGTTCAGATCTTTGTTACAATAATCATTATCATCAATATAAAATATTAAAACTAAAAAGAAAAAATAATAATATATATACCCCTCACAAAAAATACGATCTGAACAATATCTCTTTTCCAAATTATTTGTATTTAATTTGTAAAATACATGGAAAATATCCTATAAGGATAAAAGCCTCTTTTCATGATTACATTTGATCATTCAAAAATTTCACCCTGTAAAAAAAAATCTGCAAGGCAATTAAGCTTCCTCTTTTCCTTATTTACTCCACAATTTATAGTTTATAATAGTTATATCCGAGTTAATTTACAAGAAAAATGAAGACAAAAAGCAAGAAAAGTGGCAATAATTATGTTTAACGCAACTTATAGTTAGACTGTGCGAATCTTTTAGAAATCAAAACTATAGCCACACTAGTTTCTAATTTTGAAATGAAACAATATTTTTAATAGCTTACAAACAATGTAAAAAGAAATGCTATTTACATTAACGAAAATGAGCGAGGTATTTTTTAAGTATAACATTGAAAAATAGAATAATCAAGCTCTGTCATGTTTAGAGGTCTGTAACTAAGAGACTCATTTTACTATCTCTTTTTGTATCTATAAAATATAAAGCAAGTGATGAAAACTAATTTACATACCATTATTGATATGTTAAAAGCTAAGAGACACTTTTAATATTAAACATTTAAATCATTTGGAAGATACAATATTTATTACATCGCTTTTGAAAATCCTGTAATGTAATTCAGTAAATGGGCTGTTGATTTATTTTCCTTCTTCATATATTTTATATCCCTTACTATTTATTATCTTCTGAAAAAGCTTTTGGAGGTTAATATTGGCAACTAACTATTACGTTGTTTTTATATACTTTTTTATTAATTTATAATAAACAGTTTGCAAAGCAAAAACCAATTTACCAAAGTTTTATTAATGTTAATACTAATAATTACAACAAAATCACAGGTATTAATTCTGAAAAAAAAAAAAAAACTCTTTTATAAGTACGAATTTAAAAATAACAAAACAAAAATGAAAGTGATGCCCTTTATGTTGTGCTAAGACATCATATGAGGAGGGAAAGAGTGTATGAGATGTATAGCTCAAAAGCAACATAATTACAAAAAAAGAACATTAATGAAAAAGTTGATAAACGAGCTATTTCCTCATGGCAGTTAAAAATAATCGATAGAAAAAAGCAGTTTGATTCAAACAACCGACAGCTTTAAAAAAATGCCATCAAATTATATACCTTTAAATAGATTTTTTTAAATTCTGTTTTGTATATAAATAATAGTTGGTAATATATTTTATCATCATCGCATTTGGAGGTGTGGGCCTAGCCCCTGGACTACGACTCCTGCAGCCTTTTCCTTTCTTTTGAGAAATAGCAAATAGGCCCATGGATGAGGGAGAAGTGAATATGATAATTCTCTTATTGTTGATGTATTTTTGTTTTTCAAATAATGATTTTGGCTACAGATGGCGTATCAGGAGGTGACTAGACGGATCAACTGTTGTGTGTTCGAAGAGCTAAGCCGTTGTCCCATTGTACAAGGGCTCCTTCTTCTCCAGCCTCTTCTGTCCCTTTTGATTCTTTCTTTGCCCTTTTGGTGCTTCAATGTTGTTCACACCCTCTTTACTTGAACTTTTTTCAACTGGTGGTGTAGGGATGTTGTTCATAGCTGCAGAAAAAATAAATAATTTTAGTGTATTTTTACTTGAGGCAATAGTTTAAGAAAATAATATTTATATGGTAGTAATGTAAATGTTTTCAGCATAATTTGAAAATAAACAGTTTTAAAAATTCCTTGAGAAAACAATTTTTGTCCTGTATTATGTGAAAAAAGGACATAAAAATACATTGGATATTTATTATTCTGGACAACAGTAAACAGAATAAACAATTAGAATTTTTTATTGTTTGTTTGTTTAGACAAATACACTTGCCTGAAAAAATGAGAGATTCATTGTTCAAAGTTATAACATAAATAATGCATTTTCCGTTAGACAGCCTACAGCAGTTGGTGATAAGTTTTAATAGCAAAGTGAAACACACCTGTATCTCCAGTCTCAAAGTTTTCTTGTGGTTGATGAGGATCTTCATCTTGCCTAGGTTGCCTTTGTGTATTGTTGACTCTTGACGGTGGAACAGACCTTTCACCTCTATCGCCTCGCCTTGGATACGTGCCACGTCCACCATAGCCTCCTCTACCACTAACATCTTTTACCCTTTCATCTGTATCAGGTGTTTGGTGTCTTGAACCTAAATTAGTTACCTAGTTATTATTAAAGTAAAACTTCTTATTTAACCTTTTGTTAACAAATCTGAACAGGAGGAAAAAATACATCTTGCTATCATTAGGACATTTTTCAGACTACCATGATTGTTGAGGACCCCATTTACACTTAACTTTGGTATTTTTCCTGAATATTCTCATTCACCCCTACAATTTCCACTGTGGGTTTGTTTACACCTGTGCTTGGGTATTGTATTGCATTCATTTCCATCATTTTGTCTTGCAAACCATGATTATGTGAACCTTTTTCATATTGTTGACTTTGCTCTTTCCATTATATCCGGACATATCTTGTGTTCATATTATTGGTCAAGTGAAATCCGCATATAATCTATACATTCAACTTACTATCTGGCTTCCGCCTACCAGTTTCCTGTGCTAACTTAACTTTGTTGAATAAGGGTTCAAAACATTTTTTTACTGGGACCTATCTAGGTCTATTAATGTTAATAGTATACAGTAACAACTATAATTATAACCAAATCTTGAAAAGTGCACTTTATTTACTTTTTCCTACCTACTTAAAACTAGCACATCCTTGGTGTGCTTCTTCGTACACGTCTTTTGGAATGAGTTCCTTTGCATTCCTTTGTGGCAAATCACTTAGCTTGCCTCAAGCCTGTGCTTTATCCAGTGCATGAGTTTTTCTTTCTTAAACCATTTTACCAGTTCCAACCAAGCACCCAATTGTGGTTCTGGTCTCATATATGAAAAGGCTGCCTCTTTTTTGGCTAGTTGATCAACTTTTTCATGTTCTATACCTTCATGTTTTGGAACCCACATTAAAGTACCTTGTGTTTTCCTAGAGCCATTAGATAAGTAGGCATTCCCAGACTAGTTAAAGCTAAATCATCCACGTTTAGTGCCTTTTTAGCTGTCCGATTGTAGGAAAGTATGTAGATCTGTGCACCTTTCAAAGTTATCTTTATTTTCTGTGCAATATTGGACTGCATGAACCTCAGAGCTGGAAGATTCAAGGGTTTTTACTTGTGTATAATTCAGCCCTTTTACCCCTTACCTACCGTTACCCACTTCCATATTTAATCCTTCCATGTACCATATTGGGGCCCCCTCCTGAAAATTTGGACTGCATTTCTTCCGAAAATCTATGTTATCTATAATTATTATACAAAGTGTAGGTTGATATGAAAATTAGTGTCACAAGTGAGACTCGAGCCTACCATCACCGGATCAGTATCCTGGGCACACTACCACTTGAGCTATCGTTTTCGAGACATCAATTAATCATCTCAACCCACAACATTTGCATCTTCCACTTTTTTGTCAATAATCAAAAATCATGTAATCATAGTAGATTCTCAGTGATACATATGAATCAGCTGCGAGATTAGTGTAATTATTATGCAGAGAACCGAAGTCTTGATAGCTCATGTGGCAGAAGTGCTGTGTACTATAACCAGAGGTCGTGGGTTTAAGTCCCGCTCATGATACTAATTTTTAGCGCAACCTACAATTTGCATAATAATTAAAAAAATTACTTTAGTTAATGGAACAACTAAAAACATATAATCAATTAATCGGTTATCTATGTTCACTTGGAAGAGTCAGGAAGGGTTCGATTTGTCAGGAACTGTTATAAACATCTCATTTGTTTTCTCTCCAGAATTTTGTAATGGTTTTTCCTTAGATTTCCTTGAATCTCAGGAGTCTGTTGGTACTCTCAAAAATCACTTTTTGTACATAAATGTGTTTGGGTGGGAGATTAATTGCGGTTTCCATTGCTGTTGTTGGGCAAGTATGCATTGTACGTATTACATTAAGACATGGTAGTCTTTGTAGACAGTTTGTTTCGTCTTCTTGCACAGTGACTCAATACCATAATTTAATCAGCACATTTAAAGCCAATAATTTAAAAATAAACGGTAAAATTATGTAATGAATAACAATGGCCTTCCAAATTCTACTTTGTCTTTGTCTAAGTTGTTTCTTGATTCATAACTGTAATTATACAATTATTTAAAAACAAAATTTTATTGTTAAAATGTTTATTTTAGTGTTACTATTTTATTTCCCAGGGCTACCAACAGTGAAGCCATTTTCAGCCCTTCATGCATTGTGAGGGTTGATGCATATTCCTGTTACTAAAAATTATTAAATTATAATAGTCTAACAATAACATAAAATGACAGTTGAGGGGTAATAAAATGAATAGCAATAAATTAATTTACCAATTTATTAATTCACAATTAATAAATTTAATATTGGGCTGGTGCAAAATTAATGCAGTGTTGAAAATTTGTTTTATTTTCACAGATGCTTGCCATGTAAACAAAGCTAAATCCTCAAATCTAATTTATGGATTATAATAAATACTTTTAACTGTTATCTTTTATACAAAACATTTTATTTTATATTGAATTTTATAAGAGTGAGGACCTGCAAAATTAATTATGTTCAAACTAGATTTTCATTTAATTTATTTGTATGAATTTAAACGCAAAATGTGGCCCAAACTGCGCGTAGCATAGTTTGGGGGAAGGAAGCATTAGTGAATGCACAGTGCAGGGAATGGTTTTAGAAATTTCAATCTCAAAGACAGAGAAAATCATGGTAGGCCTTTTTTTGTGAAGAAAATTCACAGATGACAGCAGGGGAAATTGTGGAAGAGCTTAGTGTTAACAACTTAACTGTTGTTTGCCATCTGTAGCAAATTGGTAAAGAAGCTTGACAAGTGGGTGTACCTCACGAACTAACAAAGCCCAAGGCAATCAAAGCTTTGAAATTTGCACATCTCTTCTGTTGTACCACCAAAATGATCCATTTCTCAATCATGTGCGATGAGAAATGGATTCTGTCTTATAAAAGGAGGAGTACGGGTTGGACAAGGACAAAACGCCAGAACACTTCCTGAAACCAAATCTGCATCCAAAAAGTTATGGCGACTGGTGGTATACTGCTGGGGTTGTTCATTATATTTTCCTGAATTATGATGTTAACTATCACAGCAGAGAAATATTGCCAAGAAATTGACAAAATACACGGGAAACTGCAATGTTGTTGTCCAGCCTTGGTAAACGGTAAGGGGTCGATTCTTCTTCACAATAATGCTAGGCCACATGTCACAATGCCAATCCTGCAGAAACTTAAGGACATAGGACATGAAACCTTACCACACCCTCCATCCATATTCAGCCCTCTTGGCTAAATACTTACATTTTTTAAGCATTTTGATCACTTCTTGAGGGATAAATTTTTTAGAGAATGCGAAACGCCAAAAACGCCTTCCAAGACTTTATTGTTTGTCCAAATAAAATTTTTTAAGTCAGTGGAATAAAAGCGCTTATTACAAATTGGCAAATATGAATAGATTGTGATGGAAAATAGTTCAAATAAATTTTCTGTATTTTATAAAACTAAAAATAGTTTTAAATGCCTTTTCAAAAACCTCCATTATTTTTGCACCAGCCCAATTCATGAAACTGCAGATAGCACAAAATTGTTGTTATAATGCTCAATATTTTAAATGAGATTACTGTAATTGTCAACATAAAATGATAAAAATTCTTAATTTTTCTTAATGTTTTCCTTTTCAACCAAAGCTTTGTTCACACTCGCAAAAAAAACTGCAAATTTCTAGATTTTGACTTTAAAAAAATCACAAAAAAATCTCAATACAGTCTAGAAACCTTTTTAAGCATCAAAACCTTAATAATTTCTGAAAGACAGAAGTGACATAATGGCCTAACCTGGACTAGCGAGGTTGTTATTTTTGATGACAAAACAAAGGCAAATGAAATGTCAATAAATTTTTTAAACAAATCACGTTTTACAAGTTCACTTGCATAGTGTCAGATGTCGAAATCAATTTAGCCCAAATTTTAAAAATAAATGAAATAAATAATTTCAATTAATTATTCGCTTTATCTAAAGCTTGGTTGAGAAGAAAAAGTTAGTGACTTTTCATCTCAACCAAGGCCTTAGATAAAAAGAATAACTAATTGAAATAAATGATCGCTAAACATGTATGAATAAAGAAACTACAATAAACTTTTTCTTTTGACTGTAGACCATGCCTATTATTAGTCAGTGAAATTTAAAAAAATGAAACTTGGCTAGCAAACTTAAAATGAAAACATAACAAAAAAGATAGTAAAATAATAGCAAAAATTACGACGAAGCGGGGAAGACTAAATGATTGACAGTATGAAAACTAAAATGCTATTTCAAGTCATTTTGCATAAGAACTATATGAAATCAGTACATGATAAACGAGGATGTCAGATAGGCGTAAAAATTTTTGATATCTGGATGTCACAATGATAGCAAGATATAAATACTTTGCAATTTAAATAAAATAGTTTTACCTGAGTATCTGCCACCATCATGTCTTCCAGGACCACCTCTTCCTCTACCCCTTCCCCTGGGCTGACCACCTCTGGCTCCTCTTCCACTGCCCACATCCATCTCTGAGTTATAACCCCTTGAAAAATGAAAATCAATTTACTATATGCTTGTAAAAGTAAAATAAATTACAATTTTGTATTAATGAAGCATGTTTAGCTTAAATACCGACTTCTTGTACCGAGTTTGTTCAACACGTGGTTTTTCGAATTCAACAGATATATTTGAGAACCTATAGCAAAATGTATACTTCATTCATTTTATAAATATGAATAACTGGATAAAAAATTAATAATAAAAAAATAAATAAATACAGTGGATTCCGTTTATAACAATGTTAAGGGAGTTTTTCAAGAAAGATTTAAATAAACTATTAATAAAAGTATGTTAATGTACCTATAAATGCAATGTATACTCATAAATATAGTATAATTTAATGAATTTATAAAATTGTGAATTAAGAAAAGAAAAAACACATAATTATGTTTTCTTCTTTCTTTTTTATGTGTCTTTGTTTTTCCTTTCTATTTTCTGAAAGTGGGGAGGATAATGAACTCAACAACCTTTTCTTTTCTATTCCTTTTATTTTTCTGCTGTGCATCCCGGGGCCATCTTCCTAACTCCCCTCTTCATGGCTTTGGGGAGTTTATAAACAACTTTAACAATCAATGAAGTTGTTGCTCCCAAAGTCATGAAGAAGGTAGTTGGGAATATGGCCCCAAAATGCACAGCAGAAAAATAAAAGGAATAGAAAAGAAAAGGTTGTCGAGTTCATTATCCTGCCACTTCAAGAAAACTCAGTAATTTTAGCAGGCACAACTTTTTCAGAACCTTAAAAAGTCTGGATGGTGATTTGACATTTCAGCAATTGACATGATTGCTAAGCTTGCCACAAGAAAAGTCAATCTAATGGCCCCTCTTCATTATGGCCAAAACAGTGACTATGAGTGGATGGGCTGTAATGGCCCGTATTGGCCAAGGTTGGAGATTGTGTTGAGGAGCAATGACTTTTGTCTCACTAAACACATCAAAAGTGGCCAACATGTATGAACAAAGTGCGCAGCAGATAGGCGACTGTGTCCACACACTGGGCCAACATTGGTCAGCCACTGTTCGTTGTTTTCAACAAGATTTCTGTGAATAGCAAGTAAATATCAATTATACACCTTAGTCAAACACAAAACTGCAGCACCAATTTCTCGACCTTGATATTCATCACAGCACAGGAAAAGTAAGCAATTATAAGGCTGTTGAGGCCATACTGGGGGGGAAAGGGTTGGACCACCTATTGACCCTGCGAGTGGAGCTAAGCCCATGGCCAGCATGTCATGATGCACATCTTGGTGACCACTGCATTGACCCGTCATGGCCCACAGTGCACAGGGGCTGTAAAATAATGTCCAGAAAAAAATCAAGAGGGGGGATTTCAAGTATTTAAAACCTCAACCGAACATCCAGAAAACAAGAAGAAAAGTTCTGGAACTCACAAAAGCTCCACCAGTGACCAACATCATTTCTTTACCTGATGGGCTTTCCTCTCTCCCGGTCTCTTAACAGTCCTACACCAGACAGCGCGCAGTACTGTTCACACTTAACAGGCAGTTCGTTTTTTTCAGTTCGTTCTTGTTTGCGTGTTTGTTCATTTGTCAAAAAAAGCCTGTGAAACGTCATTGTAAGACGTTAAAACGTGGAGGAGAAATTCAAGATTATTAAGGCGGTAGATGAAGGCATTAAGAAAAAGGGTGACATCACTATAGATTTCTGCATACTACCAAACACCTTATCCACAATTTTAAAAAATAGGGTTAAGTATGATGCAGTGAGTGGATAAGCCAGCTCAATACCTCAAACCTCGATTAGTCAAAAAACTTGATAACTCAAATTTTTTGACTTCCTCCTGAGATTCAAGTTATCAAACTGTACTGTATAACAGAATCAACTGTACATACATAAATATAGTTTTTACCTTAAAGAAAATCAATCTAGTATAAATAATAAAAAACACTATTATCATTTTAAGAACAAAATACTGGACACTGTACATACATATTTTGTTGTTTATTTCAAACTGTAATATGTATTTTTACAATTTAATTATATTATTTTTTCTCTTAATACGAAATAAGAATAAACCTAGGTAATAAATGTTAATAAAATTTATTCTATCACTAAATGATTTTCCGGTATTTAGTTCAATTTTCTTTCAAACCATCATAATTAAATAATTATTTATTAAAATTCATGAATTTCTGATCTCGTTCCATTTGGTTTACATTAAAATAAGTGTTGCAATCAATAGTACGATAAAAATACATACAGTTTGAAGGCCTTTTTTTTCTCCAAGTACATAAAAATATGTGTAAATTATGTATGTTGGAAATGTGAAAAGGGGTGATTTATTTCTATGTTAACATGTTAGTTCTTCACCATAATGCCACACCTGAGGACTAGTACAACCCCAAACTAACCCAAAGGTTCTTGAGGATTTGTTATTGTTGGTAAAGCTTTTGTTTTCAGTTTTTAACAAAGAATATTTTTTCCAAATGCCACAAAGTCTAGTCGAAAAGTAGGACTAATCAATGCTTTGATTCAAAATGAAATCTTTGATTTGTGTAAAGCTCAGAAACTAATTTAAAAAATATATTGATCAAAATTAATTAAAAAGCATTTAAAAATAAAAGTACATAACTACAAATAAACAGCTGTTCAGTTCATTCTAACCATGTTTGTTACCAAGTCCTAACGGCTATCAGCTTATATATACTGTTATTAGATTCTACTTAACATCGAACTCAGGTCCAACTAGATCAAGTAGCCAATTCTAACAGACCTACATCACCATTTCTTTCCATCTAACACACTTAACAGAGTTAAAAAAATATCATGAATAACTACAATCATACCAACCATTTTCGACAACTTAACAAGCGATCTAACACAAATTGTGAATACCCCTGTAATAAGATATAAAACATCTTGCTACTATTGGCTTTAACCAGGTCAATTTTTGATTTATTCGGTGGAGTGCAGCCAATGCTTCTCACAAAAAAAGTAACCCAAACAAGAATATGTCAGTTATCTTCTTGGTATGTTAAGACCAAAGTGATGAGTGATAGTGGCAGGCAACTGGTGGCAAGAGACCGAAAACATGCCTCTTCGACAAACGGGTTGTTTAATTTTTATCACAAGCATATCTCATCACTGGTGAGTCCCAATTTATCATTAACTTGATTATTAAGCCTGGTTGTAGTGTATTTCTTCTACCAAACAATTATGGCACACAAGAAAAGTAAATTGTTATTAACATACCTTTCGTTTCGTCGTTGCGCTTGGAATCCCATGCTTGAACCCATAGTAGAGCCTTGCATGGTTCTGACTTGGTTTTCTATAGCTTCCTTGTCTTGCCTTAATTTATCAACTTCCTATAAATTAAAAGTACCAATAAAGAATAAAAGTAGTGATATTTTAGGTGATAATTTATTTGGAACTAGCAAAATACTTTTAAGTGAGCGAGATGATATTCTAGTAAGATCTTAGCATTGGTAATGCTCTCTAGCGTCCCGACAAACATAAAAGGCACCAGGCCCTCTTCCCTTGGAAGCGATGGCTGAGGCTCATTGTCCCCTTCTATCTTAACTCTGACCTTATGCATTGAAGAAAGACAAAAAATGTATTTATAAGCGACAAGGTACAGTTAATCAAAACAATGGCCAATGTCCATGGGATTGGTAAAAATATAAAGTCTGAATGGTTATACTTACTACTCCACTTTTATCTACTATTTCCTGTATTGTCCGGCCATTTTTCCCAATAACTTTACCAACTAAGCTTCTCTCAACTTGCATTGACTCTTCACTGTATTCTAGCATCGTTCTTGCTTTTTTAACGGCCTCTTCTGTCTAATTCAATTAAATAAATAAATAAAAAATAATAATTTAATTTCTTATTTTTACTTACTTCACCATGAATTTTAAATGTACAGCCTTCCTCTAATTCAATATTTGTTATACCGGGAACTTTCCTCGCTTGTTGAATATTAACTCCATGAGCACCTATTGCCAAACCCATCAGATCTTCTTTCACAGAAAACTCATCAGAATAACTGTAATTAACATTTGCATAATAAAGCCTATTCCGTAAATCTGCAAAGAAGGGAATAAAAGCAATACATACACATACCCTGCAGTATTCTGAATTTTTGTTGACTCAAGTTGTTTTTGAGCTTCTTCTGTCCTTTTTAAAAGAAGAAGTTTTTGATGAAGGTTTCTAAAGTGCATCTCTTGTAACATCTGGGCTCTCTTTTTTGACTCTTCGTGCCTTGATATGAAACTCAGTACCCCTCTTTCAGGTATGTACCTGCATATTGCAGCGTCTATGATATCTTGAAAACTTTTGTGAACATCATCTTTTTTAGCACTGCAACATTAATATAAAGTTAAGATACTAATTTATAATTTATAGTCATTGTTTAATGGTGTATATCACTACTAGACGAATAAATTAGTTTGGTCATTTGTTTAAAAAAAATATTGTTTCATTAAATTAAAATTCACAAAGTTTTAATATTGCTTCTAAACTACCAAAGGTAGGGAAGCCTTGTAATCATGCAGGAAGTGGACAAATTTTTGTCATCCAAAATCAAAATTTCCACTCGCATTTTGAGTTTCAGACCTTTCTGAACAAATTTAGTTCCATATGTCACAATTGCTTGTAACCAGCAAAATTTCAAAACTATGAGACCAAATTCTATGAAATTTTTAGAGATTGTGCAGGTTGGTTTCTAGATGATACCCTATGAACTTCATCCCAATTGGATCAACAGTATTACCTGCACATGCGCAAACATAAAACCCAGTACACAGCTATATCTTCCGAAACCATTTGTCGGATACTTACGAAATTTTTAGGTATTATGCAAGTTGCTTTCTAAACTATCCTCTACAAATTTTTTACCAATCGGTTTAACTCATGTGGATGCACATATACAAACATAAAATTGCATACACAGCAATATCTCCAAAACCATTGGTCGGATTCTTATGAAATTTTCTAGTTGTTTTCTATGATTTCCTATGAATGAACAAATGACTTTTATTCCAAACGGATTAATATAAACGCATGTGGCATGCACAAGCTTTGGATGGCAATAGGATATGTTAGTTTATGAGTGAATGTTTGGAGTCAGACCTTTGTAGCACTCAGAAAGGATATAGCTAACCTAAGATAGGTTTGGATGTTAGGGCGTGAAATGACCTTAGCCATTAAAACGCCCTTAAAAATTATTAATAATAATAATACTAATAAATACACTACAGTCCACTAGCTAAACACTGAAAACGACATAGTTAAAAATGTGTTGAACTATTCATAAATATGCAGTTTATTACATCTTAGTAGGGAAAATGAAATTTTCAGAAAATTTTGTTTTTTATTTAAATTAGATGCATGTTATTACTTTACAAATTTTGATAAATAAGTGTGAACTATCATTATGATAAATTGGAATAAAATCAACTTACTATTCCCGGAGTTCTTCAGGTACTTCTATCTCAAATTTTGTAAATGTTTTACTTGTTATTGGAGGGTTTGGATTTTTATGCCTGAGTCGGTCTGAAGGTACAATTTCCGTGTATGTGGTTTCCCAGCCAAGGTATTCCAATACTAGGAAGTCTCCTTTCATCATTTTGATAACAGCCCTCCACCAACCACTGGATTCATGGTCATTTGACCTAGAAAAAACTTCAACCTCCTCATTCTCTTTGAAGGCCTTGGCAGGCACATCTTTGGGGGCCGCAAGACGGACCAGGTCAAAAACAAATTTTGATTCAGCTTGCCATCTTAAAAATTACATAATTATACAATGCTAGGAGTACTGTAGTAAAAACGAATGAGAAAAGAGATAGATAAACAGATGAGAGTAAAGTGAGAGAGAGAGAGAGAGAGAGAAAGAAAGAGAAAGAGGGAGAGATGGAGAGGGAGAGAGAGAGAGAGAGATATGGAAAGGGAGAAAGAGAGAGAGAGAGAGAGTGAGAGAAAAGAGAGAATTGACTTACTCATTTTCAAATGCAACAGATACTTCTTTATCAAAAACGTCAGTTACATATGCCTAAAAATAAACAAAAATTATAGTCAATTAATTACGTATATTCATAATTAAGAATAACTTGATAAACAATAATAAAAGTTGGTAAAAAATTATAGTACTTTATTGTTACAAATAATCATTTTAGTACGATGTATTAATTTTTTAATGGGTTTTACATACAATTTAATATAAATTAATATGACTGAAACACCATTTTTTGTCTCAAGCGCATGGTCCAGCATGTAGAGAACGGGCTCAATGTCACTGACACAATGGGGATATTTCATAACATGTCTCAAGTAGTAATGCTGCCCAACACGAAAACTACACTTAAGCAGCTGGATCCGCAAGGTGTGACAAGCCGAGAGGCTGATGCCCTATTTATTTAAGACTGTTCTCGACACTCACTTAGATAAGTTTTGTTGATTGTGTATAAGGTGATAGATTGATTAGCCCCATTTCAAATTAAACTGAACAGCACTTGATCGCTCTACTGGGTCTGTCTACTCTCTTGTGACTTATTTGCTTTTTGGCTAACGTTATCTCATAAGAGGTCCTCAATGAAGAGGGCGTAAGTCGAATGACTGACATTCTAACATGGGGTTAAGCTGATCAGTTCAACATGTGTTTACCATCTTGCAGATTAACAAGCACCACTAACTTTACAACATATTAATAAATAATTATTGCATTACGTATTTTTATTTATAAATAATTTATTGAAGTATTTATACTGTGATAAAAAAAATTTTTTTGGTTGAAGTTTTATAATATTATAAATAATAATTAAATGACAAGTTGGGGGCTAAAAAAAACCTAGCTGAATCTGTAATAACAATATGTAATGTTAGTTATAAATTTAAACTGAAATATATTACCTACATAATGAATATAATTTAATTTTATTTACTTGTCTCTTTTCTTAGTTTTTCTTTCTTAAATTTGTGGAGGGGAACTTGATGAAACTACAATAGAAGGCAATTAAACAAAAATTTCAGTACTGAATCAGAAGAATTCAAATTCTTAATAATAGGAAAATCCGAACTCCCACTCCAGGAGCATTGGGGGCTGCAAGGTTAAGTTAAGGTGTTTACATGGCATTTCACTGTAAGGTAAAGGTCCGGGTTTGATCCAGCACCCCTGACATATTTAACAAATGGGCTGTTTTTCAAAAAAACTTCTAGCCTGGTATCTCATATCCTCGTAGTTGAAATACCATCATTAAAAAAAAAAAAAAAAAATATAAATAAATAAAATATTTAAAAAAACTCCCACTCCACTTGACAGGGCTAATCTATACAACTGTGATACATGCAATTTGGACCTATGGATATCAAATTTGGGCGCATTATGAGGTGGATTCAACATCCATGCCCATACCAAAGTGATTATTATGCAGACTGGATCTTTGACTGCCTAAGATGCATGGAGGAAGTTCTTCTGAAAGCCCATTTATTGGAGAAAACTTTGTGTAAATGTATCATAATGTTCGACTGCACATAGCTTGAGTTGTCCCACTTGGAGGATGTAGGTGTTACCATCCTACAGAACAGTGACTCCCAAACTGTGCGCCATAGTTGTGCTACAAGGGCACTGTGAAAATTTTCTATTAAAAAATATTATTTTTATATCAATTATTTAATCTTTTTATGGTCTTGGATGAAATGAAAAAGTTAGTGTTAAGAGCACAATTCGAACCAACAACCTTCGGCTCAATATGCCGCTGGCTGTTCTAACCACTTGAGCTATCATGACTTTGATCCACTCGGACACCAACTCCCTATCCCAACCTACAACCTTTCGAATTGTCCTTCTTTTTGTCATTTTAATTATTGAATAATAGTAATTTGGTCAATAAGACTACTAAACATAAATGGATTAATATTACTTTTATATTTATTAAAAAACCTATAAACTAAACCCCCCCCCTTTATAAAACACTAAAAACTATGACCCTGATGGCCTGGAATCTCATGAGTGTTAATGAGACAGCTGCAATAGTTCATTTTATATTATTTAAAAAATTCACTTTTATATTTTCGCTATTAAGTGTGTAATCGCTTTTCAAAATGCATTTTTCAATTTCACAAGAATGTGAGGAGCTTTGATTATTTATTAAATAAAATCGCAGACAACGTAAGAGGTTTAGATACATCAATGCTTTTCTGAATTGGAAACGAGTTACTACTGTTGTCATAAGTTCACGCTGAGATAGACCATTGTTTTGACTTGAGGCGCAGTGGAAAAATTTTGATATATATTGAGGGCACCAGATACAGAAGTCTTGGAACTACTGGATGCGATAACTTAAATTGTACAGTATCTAAAGCTAGTTTATTAGTTATTTTGGCCGAGGAATAAGTACGAATAGTGAATGTAGTCAGTATACAGAGCTGTAAAGAGTGAAAATGACTAAAACCAATTTATTGCCTCTAAATGTCTCAATTTATTTTTATTGCGATTAATAAGATCGAGAAAAAAAGTGCTATTTTCGTGTATAAACACGTTTTTTAGGGCTGCAGTACGAAAGGAGAGAACGTATTAATTATACGTAGATGGTGGAACAATATTTGAATACCAACTACATAAAATGTGCAGGATTTTGAGAGTAGGAAAGAAAACGCCAACATTGAAGATTTTGTCAGGGTTGTAAATTCCTCCACCGTAACTTTGCAGAACGCTGCATTGTATAAACACGTTATAAACCAACATCGAGTAAAATCCCTAGCCTCGGGTAAAAATAGTAAAGCGTGGAAAAGAAGTTAACACGCGCCCTGTTCGACGTCGTGCATTGTGTTAGAGGAGAACGAATGAGAAAACTGTTACCGCGATTGCACTTGTAAACAGCCGATAAAGAAAAAAATGTTATTTCTTCGACAAGACGAAGGCACATGGAAATATCACGCCCTGTTAAAAGACATGGCGTCCTAACCGTGTTTAGTCTTGGACAATTATCAAAAATAACTTTTCTCAGGATGGATATCGGGGTCCGAGCCGGGGCACGGCGCACAGCCAGGACAAAGCCCTCTCGTTTAAAACAGTCCGACAAATATGTAATAGAGTACTTATACCGCAATTACCTTGTAATAAGCACCGTTCTCGCCGCAAACTTCCACTTCTAGGTCATCCATCTTGCTATAGTTATGAAAATATCAACGAACGGGTCCTTAGTTTGGTTTACTACGGCCAATGGGATACCTTTCTACCTCGGAGCATTTATCCCATCGGGGAACGGAGACGAAGCCGAGAACAAAAAGGCCGTGGCCTTTCAATACTCGAAATTCTCTATCGAGTATCGATACCCTTTTTTGTGGAAAAATTGTTCAAAAAAACAGAAATAAAAAAGGCGGAATTCGACTCTATAAAACGAAAACAAAATCACACTGAATTGGCTCATATGACTTTTGGGCCAATCAGCCCGTTTTATATTTATTCGACCGTCCTTTGATCATTTCGAAAGCCTCTCAGGAGGGTTCTCGTTCCAAAGATGAAACTCGTTCCATATATGAAATGGCACAAAACGTTGTGTATATGAGCATAATATACATTACACATGTCCCAGTTCCCGCCAAGAATATAAAAACTTTTTTTAGACTTTCAACATTTTTATTTATCATTCTAATTACATTTTAGTTAATAACTTTAAATCCATCAATCATTGTTCATTTTGTGTTTGGAGAACGATGGATCTGTCATTTGGACAATGATTTGATGCATTGTACCTATCAAGAGTCGTGCCTCGTTTAGTTCAGACAGGAATTAATGAAAAACTGTTACATTTACAATATAAACCAAAATACAAATGAGAGAAGAATAACATAACAATCGGCAGAAAATGGATTAAAAAAAACGTGTTGAAACAATGAAAATTCTGTATGCATTTCAAAAAAGAGAAAAGTGAAGAAATAAAATATTACAAAGCGAACAGAAGCCCTGCTCACCCCTATTCCTCTGGGCAGTTCAGATAGGAGTGATAATGTTTATAATAATTATTCAGAAATCGTGAGATGCGGTCTGGTGTGATGTAGGTTTCAGAAAAACATTTTCTTTATCGTGCCAACGTTTCGATCTTTATTGAGGTCATCTTCAAGGCCTGGGATGATCTCAATAAAGATTGAAACGTTGGCACGATAAAGAAAATGTTTTTCTGAAACCTACATCACACCAGACCACATCTCACGATTTCTGAATAATTATCGATTAACGGTCACTAATCACCACACAAAATGTTTATAATCTTAAAAACTAAAACTCTGCACACTCATAGATTTTATTTTATTTATTTGTCTACAAACTGAAACACAGTCATACTGACTGTCCTAGTTTGTTTTCCTGAGTGTAATGTGTTTGGGGAAAAGTGAAAGCGAAGAAGGTGCCGGGAATGGATTTAATAGTACAGCCTCTCCTCAAAAAATGCTCCCCGGAAATTAATTAGCTATATCACCAACACAAATGTGGTGATTCATTTAGGCTACTTTATAAAAAGGTGAAGACATGCCATAATAATTATGGTATTAAAAAGAAAAAAGCTCCCTGACAAACTTATGTTCTGCAGACCTATAAGCCTCCTCCCTGTAATCTTTCAAATTTTTGAGCAACTAATGCTGCCTCACTTAAAATATACAGGTCATCTTATTCCAAGATAGCAATTCAGCTTTCGGGATGCTCTATCTTTCCCTTTACAGCTAACTTACATCTAACTTTATACATAAAAAATGTTCCAATTGTTATGCCTAGACCTACATATATGATGGTTTATAACTATAACACCTCTCTCCTCAAGAGTAAGCATCCTTTGGGAGACTTACGATTGTTATATTATGATTAATTACAATGAATAAAAATGATTTAAATTGAAATGCATTGTCGATTTACAACAACAAATACATCAATAAAAAAATATTATTATTACAGGGATTATAATGTAGTGGAGTTTTTTCATATACTTGGTTGTACATAAATTGGTGGAATTTGTTCAATTTGACTGATTAAGAGATAGGTTGTGTAGATTAAATTTTTCTGGTTTAATGCTGAAGTTTGTAGCCTGCTCTGGAGAAACAGTGATAGAAAAGTTTCTAATTAGGATTGGCTTGCCATAGGAGGAAAATTTAAAAATCAGAAGTTCTCATTAGATGAGTTTCCCGCTAGCTGCTTTTATCAGAAGTATACCATGAACAGTCTTGATTCTATGTAGTCTTCAAGAAGAATTTTTACAGTATCAGGTTTTGGGAAAACGGCCAAAAATTGGTTTATTTTGAGAATGTGTATCAAATAGTTGCTGTCAATTTGGAGAGCTGTATACTTGCAGAGTGTGTAGATCCTATTAATAACCAATCTTTTTCACAAAGATTTGGGTGAGTGAGATTAATGTTTGAGGACATGCATTTGTTTTAAAGACAGATGTCATTGAGGTGTATAATTTTCTGGGTTTTGGTTCTTAGTAAGTACTTGGTCTTTGGGGTGGTAATTAAAAAGTTAATTTTGACTATTGGGTGCTGGTAACATGTAGAATAACTCAAATTCTAGATCTGTACATAATGGTAGGCTTATGAAATACCTTATCTGATCCTTATCTAATAAACAAATTAACATATTTCTAAAACATGCTGAGGCTTTACACCAATGCACATTTTATATTTATAATAATTTTTTAAGTTTTATAAGAATTCGTGAATTCTCATGATAATTGGATGAAAAGTTTTTAATTTACAAAATGTAACATCTCAATTAATTGTAAAAGATAGTTCTTACTCACAGTTTGTTGTTTTCAACTAACTGAATTTCAAGCTTAAAGCTCGTGTTGTTGGGTTAGCCTAGAAATTTTGATGTGAAGGGTGAATGCATTGCTCTTGTCTGCGTATCCTTCTAACAATGCGTTTTTTAGATCATTCCAAGTTTGTACGTCGTTATTTTCTACTACCTTAACACCTCGTCCTATTATTTAGTTCCTGAAACAAGATAGTAAAGACACATTTTAGAAATTGGTTGATTAGGTTCTACAAATGTGTTCACTAACTTTTGTGATATTTCATTGAATCTTGTCAAAACATTTGTGCATCCATTTAATTTTGGAATCATGTCCCAATATTCTCTTTTGAATTCGAGGAAAATTTTTTTTAAATATTGGTTTATTGTACAAAGAAGGATTTTTCAAATTGGTTGCATAAATTGTAAGTTAAATTAAGTGTTTGTTTATACTAAAAAGGAGAATAACAATGACCACATTTGCTGGTTTTTGGCTCTTGATTAATGAATATGATTTTGATGATGTAAAGTCTGTCGATTAATTGTTAAAACAGGAAGTTAATGTATACATTCAAAAACTTTCGACGTCCTACCGATTTACTAGTTATATTTAAATAACTACTGTAGGCATATTAAAAGTTTATTTATAATTAATTATGACTATTGTCTATTTGCACCCGATGTAACATAATGTAGGTTGATTCAGGAGAGTATAAAAGAAGCATTCTTCTGGAGGTGGGAGAGTGATCTATGCACTTTATGTATTATACACTATTTGTTAAGTCTGTTAACTATGCCTATGATAGTTTATAACTATAATGTACACGTCCACTGAAAATTTAGCTGTTGTTGCACAATACGCACGATTCTGTAAAGTGAAATTTTAACACTATTACAATGATGTTTTAGTCTATCAAACAAAAATTAAGGAAGACAATTTTTCATTTTTGTGAAGCCTCCGACTTTTCCGAGAAGAGAACAACAAGAGAAAAATGAAAACACTTAGGTTTTTTTTTCAAAGCTGTTTCTACTGGGAGCGGGAAAATGGTGAACGAACCGACCATTATTACCTTCAACCTATGGAATTTTTGTATCATTGTTCGTTAGCACTTTAGACTTTATCACTAATCACTATCAGTAATTGTTTAGGAATGGAGGTGAGAGAATCAGTTCTAATTAATTAAGTCCCCTACGGAAAATGTCAGGGAGTAGTGACTCGGACGAATATTACGATGCAGAGGACAATACACCCAACAAATCTACGAGGTATTAATTGATTGATCTTAACCTTAAACAGAATTTAGAGTTGGTTTCATTTTTATTTTTTTACTCAGAAAACCCAAATTGATCAGTCTGACACCTTCGAAGAGCGAGTCCGATTTCCAAAGCAGTCTGAAACAGGATGACAAAAGTCTGGATTTCAGTGCACCACCCAGAGTTCCAAGCTCACTCGCCCTGCAGACGACGGCTTTTGAATTTTCGGTAATTCTCTTTCATCTTTGGACACGATCAGGTTTTGAAATGTCACTCTGATAGGGGATTGAAAAGTGCCAGTCTAACAGGCATCGGCTCAGGGAGTTACGACAACGGATGCAAACTGAAGACGATGAGGTCTTCAGTGCTGTTGGAACATCCCCTACATCGAGTCAGACCTCTTCGTTTGATGGCATCTTTCCGGGCCCTGATACAAAATCGAGCCACCCTTTCCGCATCATTGAACACGATGCTCTCAGCCTACACAGTCTCACCTCCTTAGGTAGGATTGGAAGGATTATGAGCTGCGCACAAGAATCAGGTTTGGTCATTTCCAAATTATTTATAGTTAAACTGTATTATTTTTGTTTTTATATTCAACATATGTATGTTTTATTGCTTTGGTGGTAATATTCAATTATTTTCTGCTTGCAATTCTGATTAGATATTCAAATTTAATATAATTTGACCAATTAATTATGATTTTTAACTAAGGTTTTTTGGTTGAGATGAAAAATTAGTGTCTCAAGCAGGATTTGAACCCATGACCTTCAGCTCAATATGTCACTGCTCTAACCACTTGAGCTATCGTGACTTCGATCCCCTCGGATACCAACTCGTGAAGTGAATCCGTGATGATAGCTCAAGTGGTAGGATCAGCAACTTATTGAGCTGAAGGTCGTGGGTTCGAATCCCGCTCATGACATTAATTTTTAATCTCAACCAAAAAACCTAAGATAAAAAGAATAATTAATTGGAATAATTACTGTTGTCAATTATGTCTATTAAACAAATAGTAATATAATTAGTATTAAATTTCACCCATTTAAATTTGGATTTCTGAACTTTGACTATTTTTATACTAATTTAAGAATTAATTTTTCTTGAAATGTGAAATTACTTGTTTGTAAGATATAGTGGCGAAATTTATTATACACACATACTTACTATAACAAATATTGTACATTAGTCAATTGATGGGGATGTTGGTCTGCAGGTTGGTGAAAACATGTTGAACCAGCACTGGACTTCTTATCGGGTCTCGGGTTCGTCTTTGCTCAAAGGGTTTCAAATAGGTTTTAGCTTCTTTGCACCAACTTCAGTGATGAACCAATGTAATGTTTATTATAATTCCCTTATGGAGATGGACACAATTATTGTTTTGGCATTTTGAATTAAAACAAAAATAATTTATTTAAAAAAAAAATTAAATTAAGGAAAACGGAAGAATTTTTTTTTTTTTTATAAGTAAAGTAAAAAAAAAATCATTAATAAAGTAAAACTCCTCCTTTTATTTTGATTATTGTTGTACACTAATATTGTGCTTTATTTATTGCTAATGCGCATTTTGGTACCCTTTTTCAACATACAAGTTGTGACCTCCAACAAGCCTAGAAAAGAAGGGGTACCTGAACAGGACCTGAAATAAGTACTGACAACAAAAAGTTTTAATAAAAGTTGTGGAGCTTAATAAATATCCCCATCACATGATGAAATAAATGAAAATTTTGAAGTTTCCTCAAGGGGGTTTGCACAGTGTTTGTTTTATGATCATTTAAAATATCTTTTAACTTGTTAGAAAAATTTCCGTGATTTTTTTTTTTATGAAAATGTAAATGCATTAGTTATTTAAATTTATTTGGACATTCGGGAATTTACATGCATCATCAGAATGTTGTCTTCAATAAATGTTTTATAACATAAATCAAAAAAATTTAAATAAGACAACTGTCTTAATAATTCCATGTTTAAAATAAAACACCTTCCAAAGATAAATATTCCTCCAAATTTAAAATATGTAAATTTATAAAAAACAATAACAACCCAACTATTACATCATACCCACAATAGAGTTGATGATGGGTTTTGGTCTGCGGGTCGAACAAACGAGTGTTCAGTTCCTCACTGAAGTTGGCGCAATGCTGAAATGCATTTGAATAACTCAAAAAAACTTGCGAATAGAGTACACTCTACTCATTATGTTAAACCATAGTGTTTGTTGTTGTTAAACCATAGTGGAATCAAGAAGGAAAAAAATTGACCACACTAGATTTGAATTATGAGAAAAAAAATTTATGTCACCATATAGTTTGGCTCAGATTACCTTCAATTGTTATTCTATGAAAATTTAATGATTCAATTAATTATACATGATTTTTCAAAATGAAAAATTTGTCACAGGGGGGATTCGAACGAGTGATCGATATAAATACTCGGATACCCTACCATTTGAGCTAAACTTCTTATTTTGATTTCCTTTTATTCCATTTGTAATCAAACTACAGCTTTAACTATGAGCACATTTATGAATGATTATACTCATAGCAGGACTGTGTATGATCCCTAGGTGAGATTTGAGGTTAACGTAACTGTTTTTTTGGCTGGTTTGTGCATGGATCATAGTAGCACAAGTGTTAGAGCATCGGAATATTTATCTGAAGATCGGAGGTTCAAATCCTGCCTGTGACATAAATTTTTCACTTCGCAAATCAATTAATAATTAATTGAACATATTTAATAAAAATAAAAACAATAATAAAAATGTAATGATTAATTTTATCCATTGGAGAAATAATAGTTGAGGTCAGTTATTAACTCTTCTCGCCACTGTTAACTATATATATTCTTTGCAATAAACAAATCTTGATTTTCACTTTTTGTAATTGATAGTTCTACTCGCAGGATTTGTTGTTTATAATTTGTTGGTTGTCAACAACAAAATCTGTGAGGAGAACTGACATTTACAAAAAGTGAATCTACATACTCACCCCACCTTCACTATTTCTAATCTTGATTTTTGTTGATTATATTAATAATCCATTTTTATTAATATTTTAACATTTAAAAACAAACACCAAACAGGAAGCACTCAAGCGGCTGTGAGAGAGCCATCAACAGAAGATTCTTTCAGTGGTTCAACTTCTACTCTCAAGAGCCCTTCAGATCAAAGAAGGGATTCCGATACTAAGGATCAATCAGACGAAACATTTGAAAAACCAGTCTGCAGCAACCTTCAAGAGCCTGATGTCATTGCAAGCACTAAAGCGAGCACTTCATCCCAATCACAGTATGGAATTGACTCAAATCTCCTTTCCACAAATTCTTCTGCTCCTGTTGCCCCTCCTAGACGCCGCAAAAAGGCAAAGACTGGGATAGCTGCAGCTAGTACATTACCTATGAAAAAAGAAGCTTCTCAATTGGTGAAAGTATGTTCACTTTGCTAAATTTATCATTGCTATTTTTTTAAAATATTTTAAATTAACAATTAAATGAATTTACCATTAAATCATATCTAATTAACACTGCAATTCTTGAATACTATAATTAAAATTTAAAAAAAATCATGGCATCAAAGTGTACATTTTTTCTGTGTGTTTAGGTCAATAGTGTTGAGAAGCCTGATTATAGGGGAGCTACTCTTCCTAGTCCTAACAGTACAATTGAGTCCATCACAAGAGAATTTGAGAATTCTTTAGATATTACTGCTGCTACAAAAGGGCAGTATGTTGTAAAACCACAGGTATTTTACATATTTATTTAATAAATAAATTATATTAATAAGAAAAGACTCATTAAATACAAAAATTATTATTTTGCTTTTTACTTTCTAATTTTAATAGTATTAAACATTATAAATTGTAATAACTAACCAATAACCCAATTTCACTGTAAAAAAACTATAAAAATATATCAAATAAGGAGTTGTTAATAACATATTAGACAACTACTTACTTATTCAATATCTTTTATGTAAGCAGATTAGCCATTATTTATTCTTGGATTATAACATTTTGATTCAGTGATCAAATGAAAGAATCAGGGAATTAATTTTAAGAGTTTAAATTGATAGAGAAGTATGAGAGCTTTTGGAAGTATAAAAGAGTAACAATTTTTTTCTCATTCCTTGCATGAATACAGTTTGCCATTGACAACAAATATTTTATTTTATATACTACACTTTTAAGGATAATGGAGAAAACAAATCAAAAGGCATGAGATCGACTGCAGGTCGCAATAGTTCTACCTATCCGATGGGAGGAACCATTGGCTCAGGCGGCTGCCGAGAGAGAAGGAAGTCAGCCGGCGATGAACAGATGATCCCCAATCAATTGAACATGTTTGTAAGGACTAGAACTGATTCAGGGAAACCACTGTCTGATCTCGTATGTAAAATGGTTATTTAATGAAATAACAATATATATAATATCACAACTAAAAACCGGATTTTCGTGCAATACAAACCTCCAAACACGCTAAAAAATGAAATAAAGGTTAAAATTCTATTTAACATGGTAAAAATTTCATACAGACAATAAAATTGATTCTTGCCTTAAACATTGTTTATGATGTGATAGTTTATTTTAAAATCAGTTGACAATACAGTTCTTCCGTGCTTAATATGTGTGAAGTTCCTCGGCAATTTGCTTAAAATAAAAATTGCTCTAAGTGGGATTTCCTTTTTTTTACTGACCAATACTATGCTGTTTTAGTTTTTGGTTGTAAAAATTTGCGGTGTTTCTTGAGGAATAATTAGTTTTTCTTTTCAACTTTGGCACTTGACTTTTAGTTCCAGAAGTTTTTCATTTGTCAAAGACAGCAAGTAACTCAGATTCAGTTAAGCATCAGAAGCGTGAAATTTTTTTTTACATGGGTATTTCAACTGTGGGGTTACATGATCGGGGTGCTGGTGTTTTTGAAAAAAAGCCCATATACAAGTTTGTCAGGTTTGAAAGCAAGGCCACTGAATTTGAACTCTGAACCTTTACCTTACAGCGTTGAGCACATGGCAACACCTAAACCTTTTTTTTTTTTTTTTTTTTTTTTTTTTTTTTTTTTTTTTTNGCCCATATACAAGTTTGTCAGGTTTGAAAGCAAGGCCACTGAATTTGAACTCTGAACCTTTACCTTACAGCGTTGAGCACATGGCAACACCTAAACCCTTTTTTTTTTTTTTTATTTTTTTTTTTTTTTAAGACACCCCCCTTAAAAAACACTAAAAACTTCGACAAAGTACGTTAAAGAACATATTCTACCCTCAATTCATTTAGTCAATACCATTAACCCACTCAAATATTGTATTTCACATTTATTTTCATATATAAAAAAGACGGAAAATGGGAAAATTTGCAATTTCCTGCAAAATAAGAATATGGGGCACTGGTGGCCGCAACAGTGAAAGCGTTGACAAGGCTACTCATCATGTAACATAAAGGTCATTACAAAAAAAAGTGTCAAAAAATATCCTTTCCATTATTATTTGAACTTCTGTTTTCTTATCATTGCATTCAAAGTTAGCAAACAAAAGGTGCAATTGTGCGGGGATCCGGTTTTTAATTACAATAAATTGTTCAAACAATGGATGGAAATTATGTAGTCTTAAATCCTATTAATGTAATATATCTTTTACATTTTTGGCTAAAAATATAAAAGATTTAATTAAATAAAATTAAAGTAATAAAGATATAACCAAAATATTATAAATTTTAATTAATATAGGGTATAATTTACAAATTTTATTATTTTCAGATTAATAAATTGAGCTTTTGTTTCAAAATTTAAATTCTGTGATTTTAAACATATAAATGGACATATTTTATCTTAAATTGTATAATCTCAATTGATATCTGTCATTCGAATTAACAAAATGTAATGTCCAATTGAGAATTTTTATTTTGAACCAAATACATACTCAATTTAACATACAAATTATAATTATTTGGAGATCGTAATTGTTTTCTGTGTAGATATGTCATTATTGGGTGTTGAGAGTGCCTATTTCAGATAGAAAACAAACACTTTGAGCCCTGAAAATAATCCCAATAAAGATCAAAACATTGGCACGATAGAGAAAATGTTTTTTTAAAACTTACGTCACACCAGACTGCATCTCATGATCTCCAAATAATCATTAACTAACAGTCACAAAACACCACACACACACACACACACACACACAAATTATACTCACACTCACTTCTTAACTCACTACATATGTACATATTATTTAAAAATTCACAGGACTTTATTTAGAAATCGTGAGATGCGGTCTGGTGTGATGTAGGTTTCAGAAAAACATTTTCGTTATCATGCCAACGTTTCGATCTTTATTGAGATCATCTTCAGGGCCTTAGATTTACAAACATTGTTTACATATAACAATTACATTTTGGATGTGGAAAAGTGAATTTATACAATGCAAAATATATTTTTTTATATTCAATCAAAGTATTTCTACTCACTCAAAGTGTTTGTCTTCTGTGTAATTGTGCCATTCTTGCGTGTCATGTCGAGAGTGCCAGTGAGATTTTGCTATTTTGTGTTTATATACGTTGATTTTGAAGGGGTGGGGAAGGAAGTTGGTATAGAAAAGACATTTTTGTTTTAGTTTCGACTTCAAAAATCCAAAAGTATTACACACAGAACAAAACAAACATAAACGTAATTTCTTAGAAATGGTTTATATCAACAGAGATAAACACAGCATCAATTACAGAACAGATACATGTAAACTCAGTCGCAGCTACGCCAATATCATTAATCAAATTCAATACAGATAACATACCTATATCATCACATTACATTCCACACATCAAATATTTTTCACATAGTCTAATTTCCCAACAATTTAGCTTTCCTTTTCCTATTTATCCCTTTCTATATAATCCTGAAAGGATAATCTGGCCGAACCATTACCAACACATTTTTTCCCTTCGTCGGCTCTTTTCACCTCAAAGAAGCCGACGCCTTATACAAAAATGTCTTTTCTATACCGACATCCTTCCCCACCCCTTCAAAATCCAACGTATATAAACACAAAATAGCAAAATCTCACTGGCACTCTCGACACGACACGCAAGAATGGCACAATTACACAGAAGACAAACACTTTGAGTGAGTAGAAATACTTTGATTGAATATATAAAAAATATATTTTGCATTGTATAAATTCACTTTTCCACATCCAAAATGTAATTGTTATATGTAAACAATGTTTGTAAATCCCAGGCCCTGAAGATGATCTCAATAAAGATCGAAACGTTGGCACGATAAAGAAAATGTTTTTCTGAGACCTACATCACACCAGACCGCATCTCACGATTTCTAAATAAATATTGATTAATGGTCACTAATCACCACACATTCACAGGACTTTAAATTTTTATATGTTTAATGTCATCATTATCATACATTCATGAAAAATCATATCTTAATTTTAATAAAAAATATTGTGACCTCTGTAATGTACCAACCAAGGTAAACATGTAAATATTTTTTCACACTATTATAGTGGCAAATCATAGACCATTGTGATATATTAACCAAGAAATAGGAAAGGTGTTGCTTTGAGTCAGTATAGTCTACATTGTAGTTTTTTGTTAGAAAAAGTAGTGTATTTATAAAAACTAAGTTTCCAAAATCGATCTTTTAAATACGTTGGGTATTTCCTTTATTCAAAGCGAATCTTGGAGGATAGTTAATTTGGGCTTTTTTTACACTGAATGAAAGCAATCAAGTGTCTCGAAATTATTTCAATCATACAGAACAACAAAAATATCATACATTATGATGTGAAAATTTGAAGAATGCCTTGAATAAATACACTTCCTAAGAGTAGTAATACACATACAAGTTAAATGTAAATTTGTTATATGTTTACACACTGGCAAAGATAAAATATAGAAATGAGTGTTTATTTTAATTTATTTTATACAGCATTTTTCTTAATGTATACAACCTCAACTAATGTTTTTCGAGTATATCATGTTAAGATTTTTTTATTTCATTTTACTGCCATAGATAGGGGATGGGGCTGAAAATCTAATTACAGTAATACCTCATTATCCACAGAGGACACCCCCACTTATAACAAAACCATGGCAAACAAGCTGTTGTAATTATGACCCAATAAATACATACATAATAATGTGTATGACTTCATATGCATTTGTTCACGTACATAGTTGTTCCTCTCGTCTTGAACCAATAACATATTATGCACATATTTACAATATTCCCAATAGTATTCATAATGTTAAATCCATGGTGAGATAGAAAATGCTCTTCTAAAGATGAATATTTAGGATGAAAGAAACCAGGTATTCCGTGGTACTGATTTTACATCTGTAAATAAATTCAATAACCATGGAATTTATATTTATTTCAACCTAAATTTACAATAATGCGCACATATAAGAAAATATTTTTTTTTCCTGGGTAAAAATAGTGAAATATTACCTGGAAAAAACAGTCTACCCAAGAAAAAAAAGTAAAATAATTTAATAATACTTTACATTTTTGATACAAAACATTTTTGGTACGTTCATATGCAAATCCTCGTGTAATAAACCCATGGATAATGAGTGATTACTTTATTTGATTTGACCTGCAACACTTTGTTTTTATTCAGTGGCCTATTAGTATTTCTTCCAAGTTTTGCAGATGCACAGTTTCACTTCTTTCGGACATAATTTTAGACTTGGTAGTTGGTTTTATGCACACCCATCTTGTCACTGGTTGTTTTTTCTACCACTGGTGAATAGGAAATCTTGGAGCAGGTCACTGTATTGAATCTTGACACTGGTGAACGAGTGCCATTGAGTATAGCTGAGGACAAACTTCCACAGTGTATCAACCCGCTGTCACTTCACATCATGCGGCTTACTTCTGAGTACGTCAGTAATACATCTCTTGAAAAGGGGCACCGTGAAAGTGATGATGATAGCCTTGATTCCAAACGTTCTGGAGTAACTGGTACGGACGGTGAAGCAGAAGCAGGCATGGTGAAGAGAAAGACCGCTCAGATAAAAAAATTCCTTGGCTCGACAGTTAAAAAGACTATGAATAAAGCACGGACAATCAGAAGGCATAATAAAGAAGAACCAGTTGAGGTTTGTTTTCTATTATACACTTACAAATGATAAGATAGATTGAAATATTGTTGAAAAACGAAATATTTAGTTTAATGCACCTTTTTAGTATGTTGATGATACAACTGGAGCAACATCTGTTACATCAGGTGAACAGTATATTAAGCTAAAGGCATCGAATAGCCACAAAGGACCTTATGAATTTGACTGTGTGCAACATGTACAGGTTTGTACTTTTGCCTTTCTACGATGTAAAACATCAAAACAAACTGTCCTCCTTATTTTAAAATGTTGTACCTTAAATTATATAATTTTCAAGATAATAACTAAATCAAAATAGAGATTAAACCATTTGAAATGTTGACATTTGTCATTAATTTTTTAGGACTTAAGTGGTGAACATATAGGACCAGTTTGGTGTATGAAATTTTCCTCCTGTGGCCGACTGTTGGCTACAGCTGGTCAAGATCGAGTTTTACGAGTTTGGGTCGTTCGAAATGCTTACCCTTATTTTCAAGTACTTTAAATATTGGATATGTAGTATGTGCAAATCAGATTTCTCTTTTTATGTTACTTACAGGATATGCGTACAAAATATATGGCAGAAAAAGTGTCACCAACACCTTCTCAAGAATCTATTGTATCTCAAATATCAGTTGAGGATCCAAATTCAGTACTGATGGAGCTCTGCGATCAGGCACCTTTCATGCCCAAACCCTTCTGTACTTACTCAGCACATACTTCTGACTTACTAGATGTTTCTTGGTCAAAAAACTATTTTATACTTTCCTCTTCGATGGATAAGACGGTTCGTTTGTGGCATATTTCTAGAAAAGAGTGCCTTTGTTGTTTCCAACACATTGATTTTGTGACTGCAATAGTTTTTTATCCAAGAGACGATAGGTATGTTTTAAACTTATTCTGTAGGTATTTTTCATCTAAAATTTACCCATGGCATATTCTTTGTTTTTTAAGATATTTTTTGAGTGGTTCACTAGATGGCAAATTAAGGCTATGGAATATACCAGATAAAAAAGTAGCTGTTTGGAATGAAATTGGAGGCCCTGCAAAATTAATAACAGCTGCAAACTTTTGCCAGGTATTATTATTATAAGTAGTATTGGTGGTTAAATGTCCATCACCTGCAGGAGTGTTCATTACATTTAATTTTAAATTTCAGAATGGAAAATTTGCTGTTGTTGGTTCGTATGATGGCAGGTGCATCTTTTTCACAATGGATCAATTGAAATACCATACACAGATTAATGTAAGGTCTTCTAGAGGGAAAAATTCAACAGGAAGAAAAATTAGTGGCATTGAGCCAATGCCAGGCGAAGACAAGATATTAGTAACTTCAAATGACAGCAGGATAAGGCTATATGATTTGCGGGACCTGAACTTGTCATGTAAGTATAAAGGTTATGCCAATTTCAGCTCGCAAATCAAAGCTTCGTTCAGCCATGATGGCAAATACATCACTTCTGGTTCCGAGAATCAATGTATATACATATGGAAGAGCAATCATGATTACTCCAAGTTTCCTTCAGTCAGGAGAGACCGGAATGATTTTTGGGAAGGGATAAAAGTCCATAACGCAGTTGTAACTTGTGCTGTATTTTCGCCAAATCCTGATATCATAATGAGACAAATTGAAGAACTCGAGGGTAACACTTCGGGTGTTCACACAACTTCTGGCTATGTCTTAGTCAGTGCAGATTTCAATGGGTGTATAAAAGTATTTTTGAATAAAACTAAACCTAAACACAGCTCTTTACCAGCATCAGCGATGGCCTGAGCCCCTAGAAATCATCGATCATTAAATACTGAGAATAATAACATTAAAAGTAAGCTCCAAACATTCTGGCATTTGTCCTCTAATTTACACCTATGTATTATATAATTTATTAAATAACCCAATCTCATTTTAAATGCATTTAGAATATTTCATCAAAAAGGTGGTAAGAAAGCATATGCTATTTTTGTACAAACATTGTATAAATTAATTTAATGATAATTCTTATAACATAGTTTATAATGAATTTGAAAATATATATAACGTTGTACATTGTATGAGTATTATATTTTGTTAAATATTTACATATTTTAAAATGGTATATATTATTAAAGTTTGTTTCACATAATTTGTCTTTTGTGTTACCATTTTTTTCCAATGTAATAAATTTCACTAGTGCAGCTAAAATAAATATCCAATGGAGAATTTTTCATTTCTGGCTTTCATTTATCATAAACATAAATTCAAAGGATGTTTGGTAATTTGATCATTCTGATCTTACTTATTTTTGTGTGATCTGTTTGCCAATAAAATGTATTTTATTTATCATCATAAAGTGTTAAAATGAATCTTAATATATAGAAGCAAGAAATAGAAAAATATTAAAAATTTCCAATGATCATTGAGATCTCATTAAATTATTGGATAACATGTTGAACTGTAATTAATTACCAATGTGAGTAAATTGTTTCAATTTAGTTAAATATTCATTATGGCTAACCTTACAGACCTCACTCTTTATCTCACAATTCGGACTTACAACAGTGGTACAGTACTGCTCAAGAAATAATATTATCATTTTGTAACTAAGAAAAACTACTCAGAAAATTCCTTGTTTTAAAAAACCATTACTATAGTTTTCATTCCATCAAAGAACTCCCATGTGTTTACCACAGTAGGTTCAAGTTTGTGGTATTGCAGCTATTAAAAGATGCAGATTTAGGCAATAAATCAGACAGAACTTCTTACAGTTTTTCTAGGCACATGATATGCTCTGGAGTAGTCTCACTAGTGATCTCTGCCATGAGCTTATGTCAGTTGACACTCTTTATATTGGGGCAAAATCAAGTCTAAAATGTAAACCAACCTAACCTTTGAAAGTTTGAAAACAAACCAATTGCAGATGTTAAACAAACTTGGTGTGATATGCCAGTACGATAGAAAAATTTTTGTTAGAAGGCTGGTGGAGAGAAGAAAAACTATTCCATGGCAAAAATATTTCTTTATTTTGTTCATTTCAGGCTCATTGGCCATCCTCAGCAGCCCTAATGGCTCCAATCTGAGTCGAACAATTTGGCATATATAAACATGGGCATGGCTAGATAGAAGTGTCTTAGTAGTCCATTTAAGTGGGGGTACTTTGTTTGTCCTATGGTAACACAGAATGCACCACACTTTTATTTGACATTTTTTAAACTTATTTAAATGGTACTTAGGTTTCTACACACTGAACTGTGCTTTAACTCGACCATTGATGCTCGCCTGGATAGTTCTCAATATCTAAGTTTTTGTATCTTTTCATTTTTACTATAAGTCCATCCTCATCCCCAGTAGCTTTCATAATAACAACTCTTGATACTGACAAGAAGGAGGGGTTCATGTTACTCACCCCTTTTACAATATCAATCTCATCTTTGACATTTACCTGAAGAAATAACATTTATTGGACAGAACTAGTATATTTTACTTTTTTCATTACCTTCAGACTCTTCTTAGCAATTTTTTGGCCATTTACACGAATTCGGCCCTCATAAAACATCAATTCCACTTTGCTGGAAAGAAAACAAAAGGCAAATTTCAATTGGACATTTACTTTGCAGAACTACAAAATTTTGAAATAGATACAGAATGGTTTAGTATTATTTAAAAAAATTAATAATTAAACAAAAGGAGATAACTTGAACAAGTGATTCTCATTGCTATGTAGTTCACACATAATTATCACAATCAATCTTGTCATAGTAAATACACATATTTTATTAAAGAAATAAATTTACAATTTCCCTAGTGTGTAGTTCTATGCAAAAGTAAACAAGTCATGTTATTTTTCCAATAGTTCTGACGTTTGTAATTAATTATGATTAGGGAAAAGTAAAACTACTTCTTACTTTCTGGCCAATTTGAGCCCAGCTTTTAAAACAGAGTCAACTCTTAAAGACAACATCTTTCCAGTTAGTACTACACCTTGAACACCAAACTCATTTTCTTCATCTGAATCTTCATTGTCAGTATCTTCTTCTTCCTAGGAAGTTTAATTTGACTCGTTTACAACCAAAAAGAAAATATTCATTTTCCGTCTTACCAAAGTCTTGGATTTTTTATATTTAAATCTTTTTTGTTCTAAAAACAAGATTGGATTACAATAACTATGCGATCGGTTAGCATGAAGATATAATCGCTGAAAACTGCAGACTCTTGTAAATGTATAACATCGATTATGTATAGAAAAATTGAAACAACGTAACCGCATAAAAAGATTGACTGACATTTTAATTAGAAATTATATATATTTACGTAAAACCATAAGTTTTTATTTAATTTTAGAACTCCGCACTCCTCAGATCGTACGGTTACAACCTTACAGAACACAAATATACCTACAAACAGCACGAAGGTTATAACTGAAAAATAATTTAAACACCGTAAATACATTTTGGATAACCAATTGTTTAAATAATGTTTATTTTTTCCCTTAATAAAAAACTATTTGGTGAGTTAGCTTTAAATTCATAACTTCTCCCCTGGCCTCTCACAATCGGCATAAAATATTGTTTGTTATAATGCTTTATTTAGTGAATATCTTCAAGTTCAATATTAACTTGTTTATACATTTGCTGATATCGTAAATTACTTCATTTATTTAAAAAAATAATATTGAAATTTTAAACTTATTCTATAAAACGTTGAATATATTTTTTATCCTTACTTATGAATTTTTTTTTACATCGTAATTGTATATATTTTTTTGGAACGCAACCACCAAGGGTCATGATTGTCCCAATGACTAACTCATTATCTAATAGATAGAAAGAGGCATATAAATTAAAGCTAGCCACGCGGATGGTCGACCTAGTATATTTATCTATCTATATTTATTTTTCTTTATTCTATATCAATATCTATTATTATTATTATTTATTATCTTTATTATTATCATATCTAATTATTATTATCTTATTATCTTTATTCTATATTATTTATATATCCGATCTTGCATATATTGAGAAGGACAAACAGTGTGAGCTCATATTTTGTCGAGTAAATTTGCTGATTTGAGAAAATCAAACAAATTACGTATACTATCATTGTTGTCGCCTAGCATTTCTTGGATGCTTATAGGCAAGGAGTGTAGACGTCTATGGGCTGTATATAATGAGCATGACGTAAGTATATGTTTGATTGTGACGATTTGATTGCACATTCCGCAAATTGGAGGTGCCTGTCGCCCCATCAAATGACCCTTAGTGGCTCCACAGTGTCCAATCCTCAACCGTGCAAGAACCACTTCTTCCCTTCTACTATTTCTCAATGAAGTAGGCCATGCATCTACAGAGTTCTTTAGTTCCCGTAGTTTGTTTTCAGATATGTTAGTCCAGACCTGTTCCCATAGACCCTTGACTTTTGACTTGTAAACTACAGCCATATCACCCTTTGGAATGTTCCTGATTTGAAGGCCTGTAATGGCTGCTTCTTTTGCAGCTTCATCTGCCAAATGGTTTCCTTTAATATTTACATGTCCAGGAACCCAGACGAAGTAAACGCTCTTTCCCTGCAGTTGGAGGCTCCCCAGTGAGGCCAGCACCTCCTGCACACCAGGATCATCTGAATAGGGGTGTTCCAAGGCATGTAAGGCTGATTCTGAATCAGAGCAAATCACGTAGCTATTGTTATAGGAACATAAAATTTAGAGATTTCCGTATTGCTAGTAACTCAGCGCTATAGTTGCTACAGAAATGATGTAGAGAGAAAAGAAATTTGTTAGGGCCACACATAGATGCAGCTCCCACGCTCCTGGAGCTCCTTGATCCGTCCGTATAGATAAATGCCGCTTGTGGGAGTGCGTTTTTTATTTTCAAAAACTCCTGCTGGTATACATGAAAAGGTGTAAGGGCTTTGCGATATTTTCCAAGTGAATACAAAATTTTCGGTTTGGGAAATGTTCAAGGAGGGATGGGAGCCATTGATTATTTTTGTACTGGAGGTATGGGTATTTGTTAACTTTTTATGGGTATTCTTTAACTCCTTTAAACCAATATATTTCTTAATATACTATTATGACTTGACTTTACAAGTTCAAACATAAAATAAAAATGAATGAAAAAAGGGTTAATTAAGTAAAGGAAACAAAGAAAATGACTCAACTTCTCCACAAGCTTGAGTGGCTTGTGAGGGATACTCGAATGGTGCTTACTTTCTGCTGAACTCAATTTGAGTGTAATCGAGTTTGACTTTTGTACGGAAGAACTGTGAAGAAGAAATGGAGCAGAATGTGGGGAGAAAAACAGGATTTCAAAATCCGACAAACAAGACGAGATTAATGCTGCGTTGTCACTACAACAGTCAATTAAAACTTTAAACAACAGTTGTATATCTCCAGTGATGTCTTAGGGCATTTTTAAGAAATGAAAAATGTTAATCCTAGATAACAGAATGTCGGGGTAGAATCATTCCCACTTTCTCAGTTCCGCCCATCCCAGACACCCCGTGCCATCGTCAGTTTGTACGACGTTCATAAGTCTGCTTTCTGCTGTCTAGTATGAAATGTCTCTAGGATCTAGCGAGTAACAGTATCGCGTAGAGTTAGTAGTGTAGGGACAGTAGTGGCTGGGTTGGGTCGCAACGTTAGGTCTCTTGTAAACTGATATTTAAAAAAAAGTTCAGGAAAAAGGGATCCTCAAAAAGACATTTGAACGCACATTCATTTTTTAACGATAAATTATTACAACTAGTTGATTTCTATGCGTGGACTCTTAAAATCTAAAAAATGAAATTTTGTAATTTGGTGCTTACTTGATCAACTTTTTTACCCGTGGCGATGACGCAATCTGATAATATCAACATCGAAAATGTGAAGATCGAGACTGGAAAAGTGAAATCGAGAGGTTCACATTAAGCTTAAAGTTTTCTTTTATTATTTTTTTTCCTCTGAAATAAGCTATAGGGCGATAAATCGCAAACCGCTTCGGTTATATTTAAAGTTAACTCGATGCGAGTCTAATAGCTAAGGCGCGGGCTGTTTTTATTTTTAGTTTATCACATAGGAAAACTTGGCATTTGTACAGTGCTTGATTACACAGCATTTGTATATTTACTTGGATTGAGAACAAATTACTTTTTGCTTTGGTATTTGATTGTTCAAAATCCTTTGAGAGATATGAAAAATTGGTAATTTATTTAATTTAAATGTCTTATTGTTGATTTTTGACGTTTATAAAGGGTTATTTTTCAGTTGTGATTATGATTAGGACATTTTTAAAGGCTATCCCAAAATGTCTCTGAAACCCAAAAGAGTAGATTTTCAAGAGACTTGGACAATTCTGCAGGAGACAGTCAAAGGCGTTATTACTCTTGGAAATGTGCCACATTCGACATGGAGTGATAGATTTAGGTATGTTTTTTCAAATATATATTTACTTTATACTGTATGAAAGTGGGAAGTAAAATGGGTAATAAAAGAAATATTTATACACGACCACACAGGACATGATTTTTTTGGTCGTGAATAATTAAAGGTGGTTATGTAGGGAGTAATGCAGTATCATTCTATTTTTTTGGTAGATCAATGCTCTTAGAAAATTGAGGTAAAATACAATGGTGGATGAACTTGCAAAAACCACTGTATATGATTTGGCAAGAATTTGTCATTTCATTAAGACGGGCATCCATAATTATCACTCAATTTGAGTTTGTTCAAATATATATGTATACAAATTACTGTACATGTATACAGTTGTACAGCATGCTGCTTTGGCTGATTAACATTTGCTATCTCATCTCCACTTGTAGCATAGAAGAAAATGTGTTGTACTTAATCAACTTCACAGAGCATGTGGTTGCAACAATTAAAAATAACATTGATTAAATCATTATTAAAATTAAATGAGATATAACAATGGAGAATGCACTGCAATGTCTGAAAGGAGTATGCATACCGTCATCCTTCTCTGTATCATTCCAATTTTGATATATGTTATGGTAATGAGGGTATTAGGAAGCGGGGTTTGTGTTCCCCAGGCACTGCAGCTTTCTGGCTTATTGTACCTTCCTTGCTCCCTAGTTCACTACAATAGACTCAATCCTTCTTAGAAGTATGTCATTGCTACAATTTCATTCCTTAGGTTTTTTCTGTATGTTAGGTTAAATCTTCATTGCTCCAATTTCCGTTGCTTTGTATTCAAAGATGATATGGGTGGCTGTTTTCTCCTGCTCATTGCATAATCTGCAGATGGGATCATATTTGTATATGCCCATGTGGTGTAGATGTTTTCTCAGATGCCATTGACCCATTAATACTCCTCTGATTCTAACCCTCTTTAACTGTAGCAGTGAGTTTGTCAGTCTTGGTGAGGGTTGGTTCATCATAAGTTTACTGTGTCAGCGCTGCTACAGTGTACCCATTTCTCGTTTTGTTTTATTAAGATCCATTCTATGATGGAGGATTCTCTATTTGCTTTTGTTATCCCACGTATAGGTTCAGGGCCTATGTATAGTCTTGCAAATCCTCCTCTGGCCAGTGCATCTACTTTTTCATTACCCAAAATTCCCCTGTGCCCTGGCACCGAAGATATCATCAGGTTGTTGTGCTTCCCCAGGTTTTCAGATTTTGGATGCATTCAATGACTAATTTTGATGTAATTTTTTTACATGCTAATGCTTTAATAGCTGCTTGGCTATCCACTCTTATGAGTATGTTTTGCCAGTGTAACCTTTTTTAAGATTTTCTAGGGCTCAAGCGTTGATGGCATGTATTTCTGCTTGAAAGACCGAAGTGTACTTCTCTAATGAGTAAGTCCATTGTTGTAAAGAATGGTTCCAGGATCATATAGTCAGTCCCCAATTCTAAGAATGGATGTTAAATTTTATTAATTAAGGTTGTGTGCATAAATTGTTTAGCTTCTACTAAATTTTATTGTTTTTGGAGCCTAAATGAGCTTTTCCTTGCCTCTACTTGTATAAATGTTTCCAGTGGAAGTAAGTTTAGCAGGGGTTTCTAGTACACTTGTAGGGGTTGTTCTCATTGCCCCTGTGATACATAGGTTTGCTAATCTTTGTATGCTGCCTGGTGATTGAGTAGCTACTTTTTGTTGAGCTTTGGCTCACCAGATTAATGATACATAGGTTATTTTGGGTCTTATTACTGCCATGAATATAATGGGCCATTTTCAGTTTTAATCCCCCAAAGTTTGTCTAGGGTTTTGGTATATGTACCACTGACACAAATTCATGCATACTGTAATTATCTCACCACAATTGTACATCTCAATAAAACTAATTTAAATTGGTCCAATGATATCAATCACTAAAACATCAATTATTTTATTTATATATTTTTAAACAAACAATACAAAAAAAATTTCTTTTTGCCTTTTGTGTACAAGTTGATTGGGGCTTCAGATTATTTTTGTGGAGAAGGTTTACAATTCTTAAATGTGCAGATGAATAACAATGCATTTCTAAAATAGACTGTAGTATAGTATTGTGTTCTCTTTCTTAATTATTTTTAGGTTTAACCATTGGATAAATACTTAAATACGAGTTGGTAAATGTAACACATTATCCTGAACATAAATAAAATTAAAGTTTAATGTAATACAAATAAAGTATACAAAAAAAATTTAATTCAATTTTGTGTAACATTTAGAAACTGTTATGTACTGATTGTGAGATGTTGTCTGGTGTGATGTAGGTTTAGAAAAACAGTTGAAAAGCATCGATCTATATTGAGATCGCTCCAGGGCATATTCACCATTGTGTGGTGGTTAAGTCTCCGATTTGTATTTGCCACACTAGTGGTTCTGGGTTCAAATTCCAGCATAGCCCTTGTACTTTTATTTTTGAGAATGATTTGAAAAAAGTATTGTAAAATGGTTCTGACCCCTTGTCCATGGCACACAGTAGGTAGTTGGATGTTAAACCTCCACATATGAAAGAAATTAGTGTACATTATTTTTAATTTATTTAGAAATCGTGAGATGCGGTCTGGTGTGATGTAGGTTTCAGAAAAACATTTTCTTTATCGTGCCAACGTTTCGATCTTTATTGAGATCATNATAAAGAAAATGTTTTTCTGAAACCTACATCACACCAGACCGCATCTCACGATTTCTAAATAAATATCGATTAACGGTCACTAATCACCACACATTATTTTTAATCACAAATAAGAAAATATTGTGAAGTATCTACAACTGTAATAAATAAGTTATAAATAATAAATAAGTGTTTGTGATACTTTCTTTCATTTTTCTTTAACCAGATATGTACACAAAGCATATGGCAATAAACCATTTGTAAATGGCAAAAACATAAACATTTATGATGGCCTAATACTTGCATTGGATATTGGTAATTTAATTGTTAATTTTGGACTACTGCCAAGCCTGGTTGCTTCAACACTTTTTAAAAATTGTTTCCTATATCATTGTAACTTGTTACATTAGTAGATAGTTGTAACATACTTTAAATAAATAAATAAAAATTATTAAAAAATATATTTCATATTTAAATGACATTATAAATATATGACAATTTGTATTTGTTTTCCAGTGATGTGTACTCATTATGTGTTGCCTATCCAGAGCCTTTAGCAGATCGTCTTTATCAGGAGACAAGGCAATTTCTTGACAACCATGTTAAGTCACTTCTTCAGCAAGTTAGTAAATAAAAATTAATAGTTTAATTTATCAATTTTGGCATTTGTATGGTACAATTAGTTATATAATGTATTGCTTGTGCATGAGTGTGCGCAATCAATAGTAGGGGATATTTGTATTTTATTTATTGGAAATATTTTCAGCTGTTTCCTTTTTATTTATTAGTACCTAATAAAATGTCAACTCAAAAGCCTTACATAAACACTTTATAAGAACAGCAATTTTACTTATCTTTTACTTGCTCCAGCCTTCCAGAAGGCTCCAACCTGACTCCTTGTCTTCCTCTTATAATAAAACTTTAGATTTTGAAGAATTAAACCTCATTTTATTTAAACTAGCCGAATTTTGCATGTCACTCATTACTGACCCAGTTTCTGCCCCTAATTTCAATGTTTTGGTTCTCAACTAATATCAGTAGATCATCTGTAAAAGTCACCAATTTTACATTTGAAGTTATGTATATTTGTTCGATATAATAATGAGTCATACAGAAAACCCAAAAAGCGGAACCATAACTAGAACCCTGAGGAAAAACCTTTTGAGTATTTTCTTGTGATGTCGTTGATGTTGATGATGAAAAAGTTGTAGAGTTAAAATTATTATAGTAAGATTAAAAGCAACCAATAAATTTATGTTGTGCACTTAATTTTAGGTGACAGGAGCTGGGGAACAAAATCTTCTACGAAACTATCAAAAAGCATGGAATGAATACTACCAGGGTATAAATTACTTACATCGGCTTTATCTGTAATACATTTTTCCACTAAAACTAAATGAGATTGTAGATTTATATAGTAATTTAAAAACATATTTATAGCTATTTAAACCAGCAGCATATAAAAAAGCAAAAACTATCAGAGGCTGAAATCATATATGGCAATATGACACAAGATAGTGAGGAGCAAATGGAAATTGGGGAATTAGGTAAAGTTCTAACATAAGCCAGGTTTTATGTAACAATAATTTCCTTACAAAATACAACCCCCCACACACAGATATATGTTTACACAATTTTTAGGTCTAGAAATTTGGAAAAGAAACATGATAGAGCCTCTCCAGGAAAATTTAGTCAAACTGCTACTTGAAGGAATTCATCAAGATAGGGTGGGTGATGCTCAATCAACAGCTTCAGAGATAATAAAGGGTGTCATTCAGTCATTTGTCAGTGTTCAAGAATATAAAAAGAAGGATAACTTGGAAGTGAGTTTTAGTATATGTTAAGCAATTTTTTTAATGGCAATACAAAATAATACTTTTTACTTCTCAATAAAAATATTGCAACACTTGAATATATCTGGAAATATTTATTTACTTTTAATGAACAGTTTTGATACTCTGACTTCAATAACGAAGGTAAAAGAAGAAAAAAAAAATCATTGATTGCCGAATTATGAATATTTCACTATCTACGATTTACAAGAAACCATAGTGAACCAGAGGGATTGTACAAGAGTCAGGCTAATTAATGATATAAAGTCATAATGCACAGTTCAAATTGTTGAGAATGAGTTTTTACAATGTCCAGTTATTATTAATACAAATGGAGGATCTCTGTGGTGAAAGATTGGAGTTAAATCCCTTTAAGTAGCTAGAATATTTTTGAGTGTGGCAGATGATTTATGAGAACAAGAATGAAACGGTACTATATAATTATCCGGATTTGTTTTCTTTTATCACATTAATTGAAGGAATAATTGTTTGTTTTGTACAATTTTTCTAAATCAAAATTCCTTTCATTGCAGAATAGTTCAGTCAGAAAATATCAGTAACTAAAGGGAAAAAAGTGTTGCAATATTTTTAACAGGGAGGTTTTTTGTTTTGGTTTTTGGCTCATACTCTTAGAGGGACTTAGAGGATCAGCCCCTTGGCCAGTCTGTGCTGTGTGCTAGGGGTCCTGACTCCCGAATTAGAGAAGGCAACTTGGCTCTTGGGACAGGCCAGGCTTACCTTTGCTAAGACGATTTTTGAATGCCTGTACCGAGTCGTCTTCAACATGTTTCACTCATGGATGCGATCCCTCGGGAAGGATTTGCTTTGTTGAGGCCTTAGGGAGGGCTGGACTGTCGCTGAGGACTGTGCTTTAGCTGGGCAACCAACTGACACCCCCTAGATCCTTCCGGCCGTACTCGTCCTCGACGATCTGGCTAATTTGCCCAAATCATGTATACTGCCATACATCTAACATGCTAAGTTCATAGAAGTGAGAAATAGATAGGCCAGATTTCTACAGACGGGTCCAAGATAGGCGATAGTGTGGCATGTGCCATTTATAATGAGGGGATATACCGCCTTCTGGTAGTTGGTCTCTCATTGCAGCATATGTATGGTGGAAATGTAAGCGATTTGGCACGTTCTCGGGGTGGTGCTGTTTGGGCTTTACAACAGTTTCTTTGCTAGAAAAATATGCTGAGCTGGAGCACCTTGGTAAAATGGTGGTTGTTGTCTAGATTCCTGACACATAGGCCTGGAGGGTAACAAAAGTGTGGACAAAGCGGAGAAACTAAAACCCTCCAACAGAACCTGATCAGGCCCTCTGATACTAAGCTAGCAGTAAAGAATATGATAAAAAAAAAGATGGCAGCGTCTGTGGGCAGGGTTGTCTTGAGAGACTTTCTTTGTCAAGAGCACTTTAGATGCCCCTAGAGAACCTGAACCAGAAACAAGCAATCGTCCTTACCCGATTGAGATTAGGTCATATGCGGTTGTCACATGGACACCTGCACATGCTTTGGCCCAGGAGCCCCTTATGCAGAGAAAGGTTGCTAGATGTGTCTCACATAAGTAGCTTGTCATGTTCTGGCTCCTTACAGAGCTTGTGTGTAGGTATAATATTGTGAGTAGGACTATGGAGAAATATATTGAGTACTCCATCGACTAATCAGAATGAGTGTTATATATGAAAGTATTTATTTGTGACTATTTTGGTTTCTGGATTTGTTTAGAAACACATTTTCGTTATTTGTGTGGTGATTAGTGCCTTTTAATCGATAATTATTCAGACATTGGCACGATAAAGAAAATGTTTTTCTGAAACCTACATCACACCAGACCGCATCTCACGATTTCTGAATAATTTTCGTTATTATTGAAATAAAGATAGAATCGTTGGCACGAAAAAGAAAATGTTTTTCTAAACCTATGTCACACCAGACCGCATCTCACGATCTCTAAAAAATCATTAATTAATGGTCACTAAACACCACACATGAATTTATTTGTGCAGCTGTCTTATTCAATATAGATGGCATTAGGCTAGATTATAGTTTGCATGCGCTGGGGGGCTAAAATGACGTAGCTATTGACAGCTCCCGTTGGAGCTTAACCCTAAGGTTGGAAAACAGCGATCTCCTGGGTATCTGCCTTGCGACTCAACTACCTAACGAGGTAGGTATAGACCCTAGAGTCAGCACATCGAAGAGTGACAATCCTTCATTGTGAAAGTCATACAGAATATTTTTAATTCTTTGACCAAATATAAGAGTTCCTACAAAATACACCAAATGGAAATCAACCAAAAACCGATTCAATATACTGAAAGGGTATCTAGATGGATAGACCCTCCAGTACTCTCCACCATTCACCATAAGCAGGTTTTGCCCAATGGCACACTAGTGACGAACTTAAGGGTTAAATAATTCAAGCGTTTTGGCCCTCTAACAATTTGTGAAACATTCCATGTTATAATTCATTACTGCAGATGATGCTACACAGTAATAACAGTGTGAATGTATAAAATAGCAGGAAAAGGGTTGACCTATTCAACTTTACTATCTTATTATACATATTAACTTTGTAAATATGATTATTCGGAAATCGTGAGATGTGGTCTGGTGTGATGTAGGTTTCAGAAAAACGTTTTCTTTATCGTGCCAACATTTCAATCTTTATTGAGATCATCTTCAGGGCCTGGGATTTACAAACATGGTTTAAATTTAACAAATACATGTAGGATGTGGAAAAAAGTGAATTTATACAATATACAAAAAAATATTTTTTTATATTCAATCGAAGTATTTCTACTCACTCCAAGTATTTGTTTTCTGTGAAAAATGTACCAGACTGCATCTAACATTTCCGAATAATCATCGACTAATGGTCACTAATCACCACACATTTATAAATATGATGGAATAATGTCAATGTTTTATGCATATGATTCTGCCTCTCCACCTTGTTAAACTAACTCATTTAAATTAATATAATTTTTATATATAATTTTTAAAAAAATTACAGTTGTATAGGACAATTTTTGAAAAACCCTTCCTTGAGGCAACAGGGGAATACTACCGAAGGGAAGCGAGCAAGTATTTGCAGGAAAGTAATGTTTCTCAATATATGGAAAAAGTCACACAGAGATTGAGTGAAGAATCTATGAGAAGTCACCGATTTATTCATTATAGGTAATACAAATTTTGTGCAAATTTTTATTTGCAAATAAGATTTATATTTTTCTTATAGCTCACATGCAGCAGTGACAGCAAAGTGTGAAGAAGAAATGGTAGCAGGCCACCTCAGTTTTTTGCATAGTGAATGTGAAGCAATGGTGACAGAAGAAAGAAAGAATGATCTTAGGAACATGTATCCTTTACTTCATGCTGTGTCAGGAGGGCTTGGAATATTAGTGCAACATGTTATGTCTCATATTAAATCGAGTGGACTTCTTGCCATTAGTGGGCTATCTGGGGATAATGTATGTTACACTCTAAAAATAAATAAAAATTACTAATTACTTTATTTTGTAAATAGATGCATATACAGTTTGTCGAAAGTATGCTGGAGGTTCATAAAACGTACAAACAACTTATTCAGGATGTATTTGCGAGTGATCAAGCATTTATGGGTGCATTAGATAGAGCTTGTTCTTCTGTGATAAATTACAGGATCAACCCTAAGCAACCCTGCAAATCGCCTGAACTTGTAATATTTTTGTTTACAATTGTATCAATTTATATCTAATGTCTTGTATTGTAATTTTAGCTAGCAAAATATTGTGATACACTCTTAAAAAAATCTTCAAAAGGAATAACTGAAACAGAAATTGATGACAAATTATCTAATTCTATAACAATATTTAAATACATTGATGACAAAGACGTTTTTCAAAAATTTTATTCACGCATGTTAGCACGAAGACTGATACATCAACAAAGTCAATCAATGGATGCAGAAGAGTCTATGATCAATAGATTGAAAGTAAATTTCTAATGCTCTTATGATTTATATGTGTACAACCATTATTTTATTGCAGCAAGCATGCGGATATGAATTTACAAATAAACTCCATAGGATGTTTACAGACATGTCAGTCTCAAATGACTTAAACAATAAGTTTAATGCATTCCTTAAGCATGATAACATCGAGTTAGGAATTAATTTTTCCATTTCAGTTTTACAGGTAAACTTTCATTTTGATTAATGGATTAATTGGTCTGAACTAGAAAATAATTTAAAAGAGGATATCTTTCATATTAACGTACTACCAATTTCCAGGCTGGTGCTTGGCCTCTGGGACAGGCAAATGTTACATCATTTCAGCTGCCAGAAGAACTTGTAAAATCGGTCCAGATGGTAATTTTGTCACATACACAGTTGAAACATTGTTCTGATAGATGTTATATTTATGTTTTGAACACCAAACAAAGATTGGAAGGCTAAGTACAAAATAACACAAAATATTGATTAAAATAGTATCTAACTAAGCAAACAATTTATGTGATTACAATAGTACTAAATTTTTTTTATTCATTAGATGCAGCATTATACGTTTTACATTCATTATATACTCATTACTTATACATTTAAAATATTTTAACCAGTGAGCAGAAGTAACTAGACTGAAAATAAAGTTTTTATGATTATTCATTCACTGAAATTAGGATTCTGTTTAAAAATGAATCATAAAATTCAGAATTTGTCCTATAATAAAATTTACTTTGATTTAAATTTAATAAAACTTAATAATCAAAATACAAATTAATGAGATGATAATGGTAGGTGTACTTGCGAAAACATGCAAACAGAGTTAATTATTATATAATAATTTTTTAAACAATTAAACATTAACAATTAAAATATTAGTCTATTTTTTATTTTTTTAAATTAAATCAGAGACTGTCAATATAATAATTTTCTTTTTTTAAGGTTATTAGATAGATAGATAAAGTCTTTTATTGTCATATACACATAATAAATAAAATAAATTTAACGCCTTATAAATTTCTTTCATATTGCGGGGTTGTTGTTTGTTTAAGAACAGTAAATTAAATATTACATTAAAGAGAAAATAAAACTATTAGAGATCCGGTACAAAAGTACAAAATAAAATAAAAATAAGTCTATATGAGCATTACTCGGGAATCTTCAACCAATTCATGGGCGCATATATATATCAACAATTACTCGCATGCTCGCTTACAGTCCTGCAAAATTTGGCGTAGTTTCCAAATAGATATTCAATTAACTCTTGTTCAGAGAAATTTGCTTCATTGAAATGCCTCAGTCTTATTTATTTATTAACATACTTTGCAATGAAATGTATGACAGTTTCTAATTCCTGAACATTGCACATAGGACATTTTTAAAGTTATTATTAATAATTTAAATTTATGTTAAGGGTATCAAAATAGTTTTAATGTTTAAAGTATATAATTAACTTGTAGTTTGAGAACTTCTACCACAACCATTTTAGTGGGAGGAAGTTGACTTGGTTACATCATTTGTGTCAAGGTAAACGCTTAATTCTTCTTCTTTTTACTGATATTTTTGTTATTTTGGTTTGTAAAACTCAATTCAAAATAAACAAAAACTTGAACTGTTTATATATTTTCAGGTGAGCTGAAATTAGGTTATCTAAAAAAGCCATACATTGTCACAATGCAAGTGTTCCAAATGGCCATACTTTTATTATTTGAAAACTCTGATTCATTTACCTGTGAAGAAATCCAAAGCACACTTCAATTAAATAGTGATCAGTTCAATAAGCATATCACAAGTCTGATAGACTGCAAGCTCCTTTTATGTAGCTCAGAGGCAATTATTTTTCTCTGTTACTTTTTTTATATTAATATCTTCTTTTTAAAAAATCAATTAATTTTATCTAGAACATAACTGCAGAAACAACGCTAACACTAAATAAAGATTATAGTAACAAAAGAACACGTCTCAGAATTAGTACAGCGATGCAAAAAGAAACACCACAAGAGATGGAGCAGACGGTAACAGCAGTTGATGAAGATAGGAAACTGTATCTTCAAGCCGCTATTGTTAGGATAATGAAATCTCGGAAGGTTCTCAGGCACAATGCACTTATTCAAGAAGTAATTTACTTTTACTTTTATATTTTTTGTATTTTTTCTAACATTTTTTCTATTTTCATTAGGTATTAAGTCAATCGAAAGCATTTGCTCCTGCAATAAGCATGATTAAAAAATGTATAGAAGCTCTAATTGATAAGCAGTATATTGAACGCACACCTAATTCTTCTGATGAGTACAGCTATGTTGCTTAATGTATGTAATCATACATAAAATATGAACTATTTGAAGCTGGGGGGTATTAAAAAAGTGGAGCACATTTAATATCATATACAATGAATTGTAAATAAACTGTGTTGATTGAAATATTTAACATTCAGTGTATGTTTCATACTTAAATAAATTAATTATTACTTTTGACCTTCAGTTTGAAATAATTTCTTCTCAATTTTAATAATTAACAAAAAGGAAATTTTTATTTCCTCCCATTTTCATATTGAAACATTAAAAACAACGAATTTACTAACACAATATTTTATAAATTATATTTTATTATACAATATTAATTAATGTATAATTGAGAAATGTTAATTATAAAATTGAGGTAATATTGAATGCGTACACATTTTATTTTAAGATTGTTAATAATCAAGAATTTTCAGAAAAACTTGCCACTCAAGCAAGAATAAACAACTTAGCAACTCTTCTTATGAAAAATTAAGTTAAAATATCTGCATATATTAAATTATATTTATAATCTTAAAATAAATTGAACAAATTAATTATATTTGTCAATGTAAATAAAAATTGTTTATTTAAATACTGTGTCAGTATACAAAAATACGTGATAAATAATGTATTATTGCATTTTCTTCCCTTAACTTTAAGTAACTTGTAAGCAATAAGGTGTAGGACGGATTCCTTATACACATCAGCATGATAAATAAAGTTGAAGTTATAAATGGGCTGTCCCAGTGTTAGCATATTCATTCAGCACACTCAGAATGTATCTTCCGAGAAAGTTGGAAGGTAGAGGACATAGGAGGAGTTGGAAGGTGAGGTCTGCTAAAAATAGGAAAGTGCTCTCCGAGGATATTTTAGGACAAGTGACCCACAAATTATGTTACAATTGCAGCAAGTTGATTTAGGTTATACTCCACATTATTTTATTGTATCAGAAAGGCTGCAGTTAACCACTTATGATGGGTGTGTTATAAAGACAAAGAATAATTTCTGGATAACCTTGTTTTGTAGCCACATAATACCTAGGTCGACAAAATAATGTAGCCCGAATATTGCATCAGGGAATTGTGGTGAAAGAAGGTTTGATGACAGAAGATGAAGAATTGTAATTGTCTTAGAAAAACAAAGAACCAGGCTTCATTGAGACTGGTGACCGATAGGACAGTTATGCACAATCAGCCTGATATACATATAGTAATAATGTAGTGCGAGGAAAGGATGTGCAGAATACAAAATCGATGTAGGAACTCTGGATGGCATTTGCAAAACACATGCAAAGAAAAGGTATAAATATCAAGAACTTAAAAAAAAAAAAAAATTTTCTACGTTTGTTTTAAAGTGTTGGAAAAACATGTATTGAAAAAAAGTGATTTTTTTCTTTAAAAAAATGGTTATATATAAAAAATCATAAATTTTGTTTTTTCTTATATTGATATTGTTCTATTCTATAGGTTGTTATTAAAATTTATTTTTATCTTGATCCACTCTATAACATATGGAGACAACCACCCTTCAGCTATTATGACTTAAAAGAACAAAAAAAAAACATGAAATATTTTAAAAAATTACCAAGTTACTTTTCTGAACCTAAATCACGCAAGATCACATCTCACGATCTCAAGTAACACTGTTTTTAGAGTTTTTCTTATAGAAGGCTTCATTTAAGGACTTATGTTTATAGGAGCTTTTTTGTTCAGCATAAAATTTCCTAAAAATCCATTAAGTACCTTTGTTTTGTTTGGCCCCCTGTGTAGTATGTAATAGCAAGAATAAAATCAAAATATAATTGTGTAGATGTATATACAGTTTCCAATGTTAATTCACACGGGAAAAAATGATATACAATTAAATGTAGAATATTCTGGTAAATAAAAATTACGGCGTTTCATCTCGAGGATATTCTTTTTTGATAAAGAATGTATTGGGTCACATATTTGTTTTCTTACAAATGAAATGTAACGAATGAAGTAATTACAAAAAAAGTTATTCCTCGAAAATAATCACAACGTTTGACTTCATTAAAGACTAAAATTTACTTAATGGTTAACAAATGTTTTTGAGTAATATCTCGTTTTTGAAATTGCAGTTTTGCCCGGTCGAAATCCTAGAATAAAAATAATTAAAAATTATTAAACAATCGTTTCCAGTAAAAAAAATAGATAACAGCGAACAATAGTTTATTGGTTATTATTACTTTATGTGCGAACGAGAATATGTAAATATGCGATAGGACTTCGTTAATTGTATAATTATTGCAGAAGGCGTTTTCTTTGTTTGGCGGGTTGAATTCTCGGAAGTCGTACGTCTGCGGTCCGCGCACTGCAGAATGCGCAGCCGATATCCATCGCGCTTGCGCCTCTCCAGGCTCTCCTGCTTACCGCGTGCAACCGGCAACGTGCTCTATTACAAACGGCAACAGCTTCACCGCATTATCTCTCGTCCTTTTTCTCCCGCGATTTAAAACCGTTCAAATTTCCCAAGTTGATTTAATTGAAAGGATTTCTGAGCATTTAACCTGTTGAATACTCGAGCGAAGATGTCAGGTAAGGCAAAGTTTTCAGTCAAATGTAAAATCAAAAGGATCGGGAAGAAGGATTTGTCGAAACTGTCGTGTCGCGACACGATCTACCAATTGAATTTGGTCATTTTTTTAGAAATTTGGGGATCATCGGTATTTTCTTTTTCCTTCCTATAGTTAAGGTGGAAATTTTTTTTTTATTTTGGTACAAAATTATTAAGGTTAACATGCTTGATTACAATGTAATTGTGTGGCTGATGGAATAAATCGTTTGGCAGAATTCTTGACACATTTGCTCTTGAGATGTTTGAATTTATTAGGTGAATTGTAGTTGCTATTTGCGCTTAGAAGTGAATTGAGGGACAGTCGCGAACCCGACTTGCGTCCGGCCGAAACGTAAGTCCGCACGGACTTAATGTTTCGACGAGACATAATTGATTCGATAATCACGTTATGAATGTTTATATCATTGTCTAATAATAATACAATTATTATATATAACAAAACATACCCTTTTAAAAAACAGGTATTTACAGTAATGGAATATCCGTCTGCTTGGAGTCGAGATTACTGATAAAATATTGATAAAAGATAATAAAATAGCCAATAAAATACAAATATTCTCGGTATTTTATAACATAATTAGAAAGAAAAAATAATCTGGTGAATGCAGAACAAAATATATTTATATACCATTAATTAAGTAAAAATTTCTTCAAATAAATCAAAAATTATTGTACCAGTTTCCAGTGGTAAAACCAGGCATGACGAGCGTATTTTATTAGCTGCAGGCTTGCTCATTTAAAAGTTAGACTAGGCTTTCTTCCGAGAGCATAGCACTACCCAAATATGAAGCACGCATCTCTGACAAAATGGTACATTTAGCTAAAAAGTGCACGATGGTTTCCTTTTCGCTTGTATTGCTCAGAGTATCCCTCTGGCAACCTGTCAAGGGGGTAGAGTTAAGGAACAGAAGTCCACCTCGGAGGTTGAAGAGCCAGCAGAGATCCCTCAGTTTTAGTGTTCTTCCATGATTCTCATTCATCAAGCAGAACACGTCGAGATTTCAGTAAGCTTCTTGTACAAAAGGTGTGTCTCTGTTGTTAGCGTTTGCTCCAAAAACCTCTTGTTATTGCTAGACCTTATATTGGAAAGAATGCACTGGAATTCTGCCATCCATTCAGAAATGTTGTCTCGAGTGAATTGGAAAAAAAGATGGAATCTCTCTGACTGACAAGGAACTCCATTGCTTGCTTTTGCCAGAAAATATTTTTATTTATTATCTCCTGAGTTGTAATTTTCGTGTAACGGTGACCAGGGAGTTTTAAGGTTTTGTATACTTGTTTAAAATGGAGCTTTAAGATTAGAACGACTTATTTACTCATAAATTGAAATTGCCAGCCAGTTTCACAAGAATGCAACAGTTGGTACCAAAAACATTTGCGATGTTTATCCAAGTGATTAAATATTTTCTTTGGTGATTGATCAGCCTTCTCAGTTTAAGTATTTTTCTTTTCAATAGGTAGATTTGAGTACTCTTGGTTCTTCGTTATCTACACATGTATCTGTTCACAAAGTAAAACGATTTTTTCGAAGTCCTGATGAAGGTGATATGTTCTGCCGAAAGCTCGACAAGAAAATAAATGTTGTTTCTGTCTTCCTGGTCTCATCCCTAATCTACCTATTGAAAAGGAAAATATTTATCCAATTGTATAAGACGTTGATAAATGCCGAAGGTGGTTTATGAAGTTCAAATCTGGTAATTTTGATCAAGAAGACCAACTTTACACGACATGTTAAAAGCGGAAGCAGAAGCAAATCCGTGTCAGACAATTGAGAAATTCTCACTCTTAACCAACCTTGGTCCATTATCCAAGAACGTTTGCATCTAATTGGTAAAAGTAAATAGAGCAGGTGTTTTGGGTCCCGCATAATCTGTTGAATTTAGGTGCTGGTTCTTGCAACTAGGACAAGAAAAACCGCAAGCAAGATCCTATACCAAGGAGCCGCTGGCAAAACTATGGAGGCTGATTAACAACTTGAATCTTGCCAGTGAGTTATAAAAAATGGAAGCACAATCGAAGTGCAGTAGACCTTGTGGCCGCCTCTTTTATCCCTATCCCTTTAACTGTCCGAAGAAAACAACTAACTGGTCCACATGCAGTTTACTGCTTCAACGGCACAATACAGAAGTGTTTTTTCTTTGATCACTGGAGATGAAAAATGAGTTCTTATATGTTAACCCAAATTGCAAAAGGTAGTAGCTTTCTATGAACGAATCGCCACGCAATAAGCTAAGCCAAGTTTACACCCCAAAAAGGCGCTTTTGTGTTCGGTGTAGTATTCGCAGGGTCTTTCATTTTAAAGTGCTGAAACCTGGGCAAGTTGTGATTGCAGACCTTTTACTTTGAACAGTTAGATTGAGTAAATCAGTCATTAATTGAAGAGTGCCAACCGATAGTCAACAGAAAAGGCTTTATTCTACACAAGATAGACATGGTAGAAGGTAGTGCTTCATCCTTCATACTCACCCGGGATTATGCCATCTGGTATCCATTTATTCCAATTGCTATATCTATTTTCTAAGTGGCAAAAAATTTGAAAATTTGCATGATGTCCAAAATGCCATCTCTAGATATTTTGTTCAAAAACCTCCATTGAAAATTTGTGCACTAGATAGCAAAATGTTGATAACGAGGGTTATTACATCAATAATTAAAAATTTATCTGTTTGAATTTAATATAAACGACATTACTTTCTGGTCCCCAACACTAATTGAAGTTATTGGCTGTAGTCTGCATATGCATGACAGGATGTAGTGATTATTTCTTACATTAAATTATGTAATCGATAAACTTGGTTTGTTATGCCGTAGATAGTGAATTTGAAAACAGAGATACAAATACAGGACACGAAAAGGAAAAACCTAAGGAAAGATATATTCCTCCAGAGCCAAGTGACGATCAAGAGGTTTTGTTCGGAGGAGGTATCTCATCCGGTATCAATTTTGATAAATTTGACAATATTTCAGTGAAAGTAAGCCAAACCCAACGAATATTTTCATTGTTCAATTTTTATTTTGACTTATTTCCTAGGTGAGCGGTGAAGATGTCGTACAACCGGTAAACAGTTTTGAAGAGTGTCAGTTCCGACATTTGGTGGCAGATAACCTGAAGAAATCTGGCTATAAAAAACCCACGCCGATCCAAAAGTATGCTTTCCCCTCTATTATGAAGGGGAGAGATTTAATGGCATGTGCACAAACCGGGTCTGGAAAAACTGTAAGTGGTGTTGTTTTTTAGCTGATTGAGATGATGGCAATTTGTTTTTTCCAGGCTGCTTTCCTTGTGCCTATTATTAACTCTTTATTAGCAGAAGGATGTGAACCGATTGTTTCGAATGAATTTGTCGAGCCTCAGGCTGTTATTATTAGCCCTGTGAGAGAACTGACAATTCAGATTTTCACAGAGGCTCGTAAGTTTGCTCATGGATCCACTATTAAATGTGCGATCGCGTATGGTGGCACTGTCGCCATTCACCAAGCACAAAAATTGATGGTAAGAACAATAATTGAAAATTACAGTCTAAAGGCTTGATTTGAATTTATTATTTTCAGAGGGGATGTCATATTTTAGTGGCTACCCCGGGTAGAATCAATGATTTTGTAGAAAAAGGAAGGGTTTCATTTGCTTCTGTACGGTTTTTTGTACTCGATGAGGCTGATAGAATGCTAGATATGGGTTTTCTTCCAGCAATAGAAAAAATGTTGGAACATCCTACAATGGTGCCTGTGGTAAGTTAATGTTTTTGCAAGATAATTGTGGAAAACTAACATAATAATGTAATAGGGGCAGAGACAAACACTTATGTTTTCTGCAACATTTCCTGAAGATATTCAGAGACTTGCTTCTAAATATCTTAATAATTACTTGTTCATTGCTGTTGGCATTGTTGGTGGAGCTTGTTCTGACGTTGAACAAGTAATTTATGAGGTGAGCAAATTTGAAAAGAAAGCGAAGCTAGTTGAAATTCTCAGAACGTTTGAGGGAGGTGAGGGATATAAAACACTAGTAAAAAAAAATATCATTGTTAAAAAATAAATTGTTTTCATAATTTCAGAAAAGCAGCTTGCCCTTGTATTTGTCGAGCAGAAAAGGACTGCTGATTTTATTGCAGCGTACCTTTCTGAAAATAATTTTCCTACTACAAGTATTCATGGTGATAGGCTGCAAAGTCAACGAGAACAAGCATTGTGTGATTTCAAATCTGGTTACATGCCAACATTAGTTGCCACAGCTGTTGCTGCCAGAGGCTTGGGTAACAAACTGATAATTATTTTTATTAAATAACACTGGATTCATTGTGGTTTGAATAAGTAATACTTTTAAATATATACGTACTATTTTTCTTACAATCCGGTATACATTGTTTATAATCTTATTAAATGGCGTGTTACTAAATAATAATGTAACACATGTTTCTTACTGCATTGATTTCTACAGAGTCAGCAAAAATTTTGATTGTTTTCTTCAAAAAATTGTAAAAAAATTCAAAAAGATCAAATTGAAAAACAGTCTTCACTCTTTCACTGTCAAAGTGATACTCAAGGCCAATGACACTGATTTGATTCCAAAAGTAATCCCTAACTCTAAAAAGAAGCATCCAAAATAGTGATTTTCTGGAAAAGGTGCGTCATTCCAGAATGTAACCAACATAGTTATTGGCCTGAGGTGGTAGCATTAAATGTTACTATAACTTTCTAGCTCTAATTATAAATTTTTTAAGCATCCATCTTTAACTGTAAAAAGTAAAACAAAGGTGTCTCAAATAGTTACTTTTTTGCCTCAAATGCTGATTGTTTTCATTTTTCACATACTAAATAAACATCAGTTATATATTTAAAACTATTTTTCTTTGCTATTTATTCAATCATAAAGCAAACAATAGAATTCACTTTAAATTATGTTCTGGTTATTACATATATACCAATAGATACCCTAATAGCTCTTATACAAATAATTACTTGTTTCAGATATAAAAAATGTTACTCATGTTATTAATTATGACATGCCCAAAACTGTCGACGAATATGTACATAGGATTGGTCGAACTGGACGGGTTGGAAACAGGGGCAAAGCAACATCTTTCTATGATGCATCATTTGACTTTCCCATTGCAAAAGATTTGATCAAAATTCTTCAACAAGTATGTTTTATATTGATATTTATTTTATTTATGTATTAATTTAATGATTATTTGGAGATCGTGAGATGCGGTCTAGTGTGACGTAGGTTTTAGAAAAACATTTTCTTTATCGTGCCAACGTTCAATCTTTATTGAAATCATCTTCAGAGCTTGGGATTTATAAATATTGTTAAAATTTTACAAATACATGTAGGATGTGGAAATATTGAGAAAATTGAATTAATATTATTTTAATTCCCTAATTTCGTGGTCCGCTTGACCAATTAATACATTACAATTAATTAAGGTTTTTAGTTGAGATGAAAAAAAGAATGAAAAATGGCAAAAAGGAGGGGCAAAACTCATAAGGTGGGGTTGCGATATGAAGTTGATATCCGAGTGGACCGAGGTCACGATAGCTCAAGTGGTAGAGCAGCGGCGTATCTAGCTGAAGATCGTGGGTTCGAATCCCGCTCGTGCCATTAGCTTTTTTCCATCTCAACTAAAAACCTTCATTAATAGTATTATTTTAATATTAAATTAATACTAATAATGAAAATGACATTTCACACGCCACATTCACATTATATACGCACTCAAAGACAACAAAACTGGACACTAGATCTATTTTGTTGTTTATTAAAAAATATTTAATTACAATGGTTTTAAAGAAAATTCTCTAGAAAATCATTTAGTGATAGATTAAATTTTAACTAATAATTATTGCCTAATTTTACAGTCAATGTGTTATTAAGAGCAAAACCAGGTAATAAATTTATTTTTTATTTTTATTTTTTTTTAGTGTGGTCAAGAAGTACCGTGCTTTCTTTCGGACAGTGCTCCAACTAGTGGTGGATTTTTTAGAGGCAGAGAATGCCAAGCATATGGTGGAAAGGATGCTAGAAAGGTAGAAATGATGAATGGTGGAGTGAGCGCGGTGTTCAATCCTTTTTAAAAAGATAGTTCCTACTTACAGTAAGTTGTTTTTAACAATCCGGATTTCGAGCTTTTAGCTCATCAGGTTGAAGGAGTTCTACAACCACGTCTCTCGACATGAATTGCAAAAGTAGGAACTATCTTTTTAAAAAGGATTGCTAGAAAGTTGTCTTGTATAAAAAAAGGTTATATAAATATATGACACTGATTTTGTTTTGCTTCTAGTTTAACAATCGTAATGAGGAAAATGACAATGATGATAATGGCTTTGAGAACGACAATCAACACAGCAATAGCTTTGAGCCTGCTGCACAAGAAGAGGAAGAATGTTGGTGATTTTCAAGCATCTTGACATTTTTCCTCTTGGACATATATTTTGAAAGGCATTCATTTTGTTTTATTTTCATAAGAGAATTACGATAAATTTCTCAAATTTTGAAGGCTATTTTTACTTTGTCTTCATATTTCATGTGATATTATTTTTATACTTAAGAGTCAATTACTATTATGAGGTTATTGTAGCAAAATGTTACTCTTTTATTGAATTTGTTTTGTTTCTTTTCAATATAAAATAAAGACACTTGTTTTTAATCGACAGTTATTTATAATACCAAGAACAAGATATTTCAACAAATAATTTGGAGCTGATGGTGGCCACAATGGCTAAGGTGTTGACAGGCGTTCATCACTGTAAGGTAAAGGTCCTGGAGTTCAGGGCCGCTGGAACAAACTTGATAATATTTTCTTTGGTGATTGATCAGCCTTCTCATTAAATATTTTTCTTTTCAATAGGTAGATTGGGGATGAGGTCAGGAAGACAGAAACATTTATTTTCTTGTCAATAAATATTGTTTCTGCCTTCCTGGCCTCATCCCCAATCTACCAATTGAAAAGAAAAATATACTTGATAATGATGAAAGTAGACTAGGAAGTGGGTGTTTATATTCTGTAAGCACTGCAGCCTTCTGGGTTATTGTACTTTTTTATATTCTTGGTTCAGTCTGTTAATATGATACTTCCTTTAACACATTTGTTATGACACTCCTGAAATATAGAATTTTTTACAGTTTGGAAATCTTGTATTTAGGTTCATAAATCCATAATTACAATTTTGTTTAAAAAATTGCCTATACATAAACTATGGACAATGGCTTTGCCCCTCCCTTTGTTTTAATTGCCCTCATACCCTCATAAAAAAAATAGCAAGCACCACCATGGGGGTCCCAATGAAGCAAGGATTGTTAGATACATTTATTGAATTGTCAGCAACAAAACAATTTTTCCTCTTTTTGGCATATGTTACCCACAGTCTAAACGGTTCTCTTCGTTTGTAATGGAAAACCAGGTTTTGTCATATCGAAAGCTTTTATAAATGGTTTTGGAAACTTTCTGACTAGATCCCAATGAGGTGACTGTTCGATGTGAGGACCATGTGACATTTTTCACTTTAGAGGGATCAGATTCTTATTTTGGAATTTTCGAACTTACAAATCTATCCACATTTTCTGCTGTAAGTAATTTTTCATTCAAGATAGCAAATGCATATGCGAATCGTCTCTTTTGTAAGTCAAGTGTACTTATGTAAGCACAGACAAAATTTCTTTCCAAATACAATTTCCAATATCTTTCAATAACGCTAGACACTTGATAAAAACAAATGTAGGAATATGGGAAGTGGTTGAATCAGGGGGAAATGACGTGAGGAATCTTTATTTCAGGCTAATTGGGATTGCATGACATGGTTATGAACAATTCAGGACTGATGTTACCAGTGGCCGTCACATCATGATATAACTGTTGTATTTTTTGAGGACTTTGAATGAAGATGGAAGAACTTTTCCCAATCAGAATCTCCCTAAGATCGTGCTATTTTGTACTTGATACATTAAGCCTTGCATATGTTAGTCTGTAATTTACCTTGGTTATTCTTAACATAGAACAATGGACGTACATATATATTCTTATTTACCTACCATTCAGTCAGTTAGGGTGGTGGAGTACTCAATATTCTTCCGTTACATCTACTGTACAACTAACCTAATTGAGAATCAATGAGGTGCTCAATATTCTGCTATAGGACCTTTCATGCTACACTGCTACACATTCACACCGATACGTATATTCATTTTCGATATAGCCAAGTACACAAAACTATCAGTACTAAATGCAGTAAAAAAAAGAGCTATGTGACCTTTACAAATCAGATCAGAAAACCCATATACCAAATGATGTGCTCTAGCACGATTCTCATGTTGGATAGCATTCTTCACTATTAGGAGCTAAGGAATGGCCCCATTTAATTAAGTTGGACACATCGAGCAGCTTTTCTCTACATGCCGGATACATACACAGGTCTTTGGGATGTACAATGTAACCATAGAAGAAATTCAACCAATGAAACCGTGCCTACTAATCAAATTCCTTGATGAACTAGGACTCACCGGTGTGCTACAGGCACAGAACGGGGGAGATAACAGCTCTTAAAGGGCGCAGTATAATACACACCCCGACTAATACATTTACATTGACAAGTACACATATACACAGGCTTTGGCCCAAAAGTAAATGTGCTTGTTAACATTGCATGTCTATTCTTAATTGTGTAAGGATCTTTCCTCTACACGTCAGGTCGTTCAAAGGCCACCCACTAACATCAGCAGAGTGATTTGGCCCACTGTCACTTTCTTTTAATTGTTTTTTTTATTGTATTTTTAGTTCAGAGGGCAGGATCACATGGCTAAGTCTGGAGGTTGGGAGATTCCAGCCTGCTGCCTTGCCCACCTTTGTGTCGAGGTACTTAGACCACGTTTGTTTTTCTTCGATACTCCAGTAAATAGTGTATCTCAAACAAGAGCCCAATGAGAGGGTCAACAGGGCGATATTATATATATATATATANTAATTATTATTATTGTTATATCTCTCATATTATATTTTAATTATACTGCCGGAATGCTAACTCCCGGGGAGGGTGATTTCTCGAGGTTTGTCGGTAATTTTTTGTAGATTACAATCTGGTGATAAGCTCAACTCTGATCGTGTATGTATATGTGTACATGTAAGGATTTGAGCTTTTATAAATCCAAATTCAGAGTTAATCCGCGCACGTTGGATGTGGAGATAGCGTGGCAATCGTTTTGTTCCTTTTCGGTTGACAATTTTTGTCAAATTGGTCTAAAATAAAAAAAAAGTTCTGTTTAAAAAAGTTAAGTGAACTTTAATGCAATGTATTAAAACAGAGCTTTTTCTTTTTAACCTCGACTTGCTTGGAGTTGCGGCGATCCGCGGGCGGGTGAGTGGCCGTGGCCCGGTCCCCTCTGCCCGCTGCCGCCATTAATCCGCCACCGGCTCAGAGGCTACGTCCGACTGATCTCACGAACGGGTTTCTCCCTCGTCCATTTTTCCACCGACGGACCGCCTCGTTGGCCAATTCTGCACTGCCCGAATTCTCGTCGTATCTTCGGGAACAAACCATTAAAATGGGAGACAAGGAGCCAGGTATGTCGTCCAATTTCAACGGCGTTGCCGACAACGTAAACAAACGGGTTTCGCCCGGCGGTTATCCGCCCGTCCAGCGTGCACATCAATCAACAGTTTGTCGAACGCTTTTCTCTTTGTTAAAACAAACAAAAAAAGGGCTTTTTAAAAAATCCGGGTTCACAATCGCCTGTTTCGTCTTAGTAAGCGGTAAAAACGGTGGTCTCGATCATTGTTTATGAGCGTCACTCCTCTTTCGATGTTGGACTCATAATTCGAATCCCTCTCAACCAAGCAGCCAGTCGCTTCTTTCATTAAATCCATGCTTGTTCCTGCACAAAAACGACCTTCCGTCTATCCAACAATCCAGTCAAATTTGTATTAAATTACATATTTTTATCAGTAATGAAAATCTAAAAGGCTGTTACAAAAATAAAACTAGTTTATTTCAAATTATCTAGCTTTCGTTTATACGTAATTTTCATTTATTAACTGTAATAATTTAAACTTTCGGTCATTTGTAAAGTAAAGTTATTTCTCTATTTTAATCATGAACCGCCTGCCCTCACTGGCTTTCTCTATCAGACGTGTTACTGTATTCAGCAGTCAGTATGTTGCAATAGATATTTATGTTGATGCTGGTTGTTGATCTGTGAGTTGGTCTGAACCGGCACCGGGTAATACCCAAAAGTAGTTCAGCATGAATTTACTGAGTCCATCACTCATCATCAACTCTAACATAGCTGTACAGGCTACGTTATTTAAAAGGTATGAGCCACGAGTGAAGACGGAATAAGTGACCCAGTGCTAGTTCAGCATTGGATAATTCTGTCAGTGTTGACCAATATTCCTTATTAACTGCATGCTGAGACATGCTGGAATCTTAGGCTGATGGCAATGATATGGCTAAATTTAGATAAGAATTTGTATAATTTTTGTAAATAACCATTAATTATTAAATTCAAGCTGCATAGCATCAACATTTTTTTGTAAATATTATTTATCCGTTTTTTTTTTCTAAAATAGAATTTAGAATTGTCATATTGTTTTACGGGGTCAATGTTTTTTTATTATATTAATGTTAGGCAATAAAAAATTATTTACTTTCTGTAATAAATAAATTTATTTTTATCTAACTTCATATAGACTTCATAGTATAGTTGGTAAATCATAAAAAAAAAAAAAATACAGTAGAGGTTTTAACTTCAACACTCTCATAAATTGGAAGCTAAACGAATTTTTTTTGACAAAAATTATGACACTGTATAAATCACAACCACGATGTACAACATGTTTGTATTTATATGGGACTTGGCCAGTTTGTACCACTGTCGTGGCTATTTTTCACATGCTATCTTTTACAATGTGAATAATAAAGTGGTCCAGAAGAAATAAAAGAAAAAAGTAGATTTCTTTTTAAATAATACTTATACATTTATGCTTGTTAGGACATTTATATACTTTTGCATAACTTAATTATATAAATTAATAAATTATACTATTTTAATTTATTAAATAAACTTAGTTTTTTTTAATTTTTAGCTGGTTTAATTATCTATAATATTGGGTGGTACAAAATTAATTTAGGTTTTGAAAATGTGTTTTATTTTCGCAGGTGCTTTTCATGTAAACAAAGCTAAATTCTCAAATCTAATTTATGGATTTTAATAAATACTTTTAACTGTTATCTTTCATACAAACCATTTTAGTTTATAATAGTGTTAATAATTTGTTAATAATAATAATTTAGTGTAACAATTTATAAGAGTGAGGACCTGCAAAATTAAATATTTCAAAACTATATTTTTGTTAAATTTATTTAAAAGCAAAGTGTGGCCCAAACCGGATTACATTAATAGTTTGGGGGTAGGGAAACATTAGCGAATGCTTGGTGAAGCGATGGTTTCAGAGATTTTGATTTCAAAGACAGGGAAGGTCTCGGTAGGCCTTTTATTGTGGAAGACGACCAACTCAAAATGTTGATTGAAGAAAATTGACGTAAGACTACACAGGAAATTGTGGAAGAGCTTAGTTATGACTAATCAACCGTTGTTTGCCATCTGGAACAAATTGGTAAAGTAAAGAAGCTCGACAAATGATCCATTTCTCAATCGGATCATCATGTGCAATGAGAAATGGATTGTGTACAATCACAGGAAGCGTACAGGTCAGTGGTTGGACAAGGATGAAACGCCAAAACATTTACTGAAACCAAATCTGTACAAAAAAGTTATGGTGACTGGTGAGTTACTGCTGAAATTATTCTCTATAATTTCCTGAATTATGGTTAAACTATTAGAGAAATGTTGTCAAAAAATTGACAAAATGCATGGGGAACTGCAACGTCTTCGACGAGCATTGGTAAACTATAAGGGGCCGATAATTCTTCACAATAACGCCTGGCCACATGTCGCAATGTGGAACCTTTACGATAGGATACCTTACCACACCTTCCATATTCACCTGACTTCTTGCCTGTAGACACTTTTTTAGGCATTCTGATCACTTTTTGAGGGATACAATTTTTAGAGATCACGGTGAAGCCGAAAACACCTTTCAAGACTTTATTGTGTGTTGAAATAAAGATATTTTACGTCAGCAGAATAAAAGTGCTTATTACACATTGGGAAAGATGTATAGATTGGATAGAAAATATTTTTGAATAAATTTTCTTTATTTTTATAAAAATTAAAAATAGTTTTGACTGCCTTTTCAAAACCTACATTACTTTTGCACCAGCCCAATATAAAAATTTATGTTGTGTATTTTTTATATTTTTCCAGCCATTTAAACGCTGTTAACTGGCTGGAAAACTTGGAAAAAATAAATAATATAAATGATACTATATTAAAACGGCTAAGTAACTGTAGTTACTTAAAAAGTCAAAACAGAAAAAAAACAAAATTAACACAGCACAATGGAAATGCTTCTGCGGTTTAATTTTTTTTTTTTTTTTTTTTTTTTTTTTGCGTTATGAATTATGCATATTAGCCATGTGACAAATTCGTATATGTGTGTTCAAATTTGGGGGGTTATTGGGAAAAAAGGGCCAGGGGCAACGGTGGGAATCGAACCCACGACCGCGGCGTGAGAGTCTCTCATGCTAACCACTCGGCTACCGCGGTCCCCTAGTGATGCTTGTTTATTAAAAAATCGTACATTGGGGCACTCGTATCTCAAGGTACCACTAAGGAACTACTCCAATTTTTAGTTCCTTCTAATAATATTAATCTATATAAGTTTATAAAATGTAGTAATATGTTGCATCGTCAGTTTAAATTGAGATGGAATTTTGTTTTTCAAATAGTGACTCTGTATAATTTCTCACGTTTACTCACATTCCACTGATTTGCCATATCATTAGCCAGTTTAGAGTTAGTAAGAGATAAACAAAAGCCTAGAATACCATGTGATAAACTTCAATTTATAAAATTTAATAAGATTGAATAAAAAAACGAAAAACAGGGCTTAAGTACAAGTTAGGATCTGAAAGAAAATGACTTCACTCATTATCAAAAACAATTGTGTTTCTTATGACGCTGTGTTCAAATATTGATTATTATCATCTACAATTTGCTCTTGCTAGATGATAAGATAATACAGTTTGTGTTTTAATTTTCTCTTCTCTCTCTCTTTCTCTGTCTTCAGCAATACAATCTTACTCTTACACAACTCCGATCTGTATATTAAGTCATATTTGAACCTCCTGTAGTCTGAGAGATGACCAGTAAGGATACTTTTCTTTTGTGCCTTGTCTTAGCATAGTTGCATATTTTTTCTTGTTTATTTTCTTCTACATCGGGTGTATGTCAATCGAAATCTGTTATTTCATATATGTGTTATAACTGTTATCATTGTTTATGCTAGAGGTTTACATAAAAAAATCCATAACAACTTTGATATTAGCCAGCCTCATGTTAAATTGGATTTTAAGGTCAATTTTTTTATTGTATACAATAATATTACAGTAAACAAAGCTAAAAGTAATTCAAATACTGGGTATTTATTTTATGTTATGTTGTTTCTCTGCTTGCTTAAACAAAAGGTTTGCAATCATTGAAAAAACATGGTTCCATCCATGGGCTACCTGTTGCTTTTACTCCCACTATATAGACAATACTCATTCGATCGCAGAGACGTTTGACGACGCCGTCGAAGAAAGGGTGATCAATGAAGAGTACAAGATCTGGAAGAAGAACACCCCATTCCTGTATGACTTGGTGATGACTCACGCACTGGAATGGCCGTCGCTCACTGCCCAGTGGCTCCCCGACGTCACCCGGCCGGAGGCCAAGGACTATTCTATCCACAGGCTTATCCTCGGTACGCACACTTCCGACGAGCAGAATCATCTCTTGATTGCCAGTGTTCAGCTGCCAAATGAGGACGCGCAGTTTGATGCTTCTCATTTCGATAATGAAAAAGGAGGTACGCACTGAACAATACACTATATATATATTTTTTAAATTAAATTTTCTTTATTTACAAATTGCATACTTGTAAAATCACTTAATATTCAATTCTTTTTCAGAATTCGGCGGATTTGGATCTGTCTCGGCAAAAATTGAGATCGAAATCAAAATAAACCATGAAGGAGAAGTTAACAGAGCGAGGTACATGCCTCAGAACCCATGTGTCATCGCCACAAAAACGCCATCCAGTGATGTTCTTGTCTTTGATTATACAAAGCACCCATCCAAACCTGATCCTAGTGGAGAATGTCACCCAGATCTCAGGTAAATTAACGAAAATTTTTGTTTTATCTTATCAATTAGATTCCTGTTAAGAATAAATATAATTATACTTAATTTATTTTTTAAAATCTATAATGTGATTAATATTTTACTTTTATACCAAAAATCAGGGATAAGGCCAATAAAAAAAAATAAAATTTACTTTTATTTTAATAATAATTTACAAAGTTAACCTGTTAACTGTAGGCAAATTTTTCTGCCAATCTCCAGGTTTTTTTTCACGAAAATTATTTTTCAAGTACAAACCTTTACTTTTCTGTATAAACGAAGGAATTTTGTGTGTCTTGCAATTCATTTAAAGTAGGGTTAAGGGAGAATGTGGAGTGGAAGGAGCTTTGTCCAGGATTATTAACAAAAAAANTATATATATATTTTTTGGGGGACCACGGTATCCTAGTAGTTAGCATGATGGGAGACTATTAGCTTGTAGACCCTGTGGTCATGTGTTCGATTCCCACATTGCCTCTGGTTTTTTCATGATGCTTAGATCAAAGGGCCATTAAAAAAAAATCCTGAAGAAAAAGCTTTTAGCGATCAAAAAGCAGCCAAGTCAGAAAGTTCCTCATCAGTCGAGCATAGATTTTCCACATAGGTTGGAACGACCACAGGCTAAGATAAATGAAGCTACGGCGACCATCAGTTGGCATTCTTCGGGTCGATCCCCACTTTAGAAGACGCGGCAGATACAAAATATTATAATTTAAAGAGCAATATTCAGATAATATCAACAGTAATTACAGTTGTACCTTCCTCTCCTAAAGAATCTGCAAACAGATTACCATAAGCAAAAGCAGACTTTTAATGTATGTGTTCCCATCCAAATGAACTCACTAATCACATTACAACTCACAAAAAAAGATATAAAGTCAGACAAGAAAACTGAAAACAAGTTACCTAATCGTTCTGTGTAAATAGAAATGTTAACAGTATTAAAACTAACAAATGAACAAACAACACTAACTCTTCTGGTAACAACAAAACAGGAGATTAATTAAAAAAAAAAAAAAAGTACATAGTATGAAAGGTTACTAAAACAGCGTAGGATGTTTGGAGCCAATCATAGAGGTATCCCATCCATAGACAAATCATCTGCGCACAATCTCACAGGTTCACAATGCTTGGAATGGAACCAGGGTTTTCGCCAATCGATGCTTAAGCCTCTCTCCACAGTGAACATGTTAACAAATATAAACATCAGTTTACAATATTGAAACCTTTAGTTTTAAATATAATGAGATTTACAAGTTAAATCTACAGAGAAAGAGATCCTGCCACCCATTTAATTTATTTTTACATTAAATTTTCTTCTACCCGACCCTTAACATAATTTTTAAAAAAGAAACAGTAGAAAACTCATGTTTATGGGGTTACTGTGAACGCTAACCAGATTATCATGTTTAATGTTGTTTCTGGTTTTATGTGTTTTTGTGTTTGTTATTTGTGTTATTTTATCCACAATCGAAGATACCTTGAGGTGCAGAGAGGCAAATAGGATAAAGAAAAAATAAATTAACACAATTAAAACATGAGAAATACAAGAAAACAAAAGCAAAACAAGAGAGAGATGACCAATAGTTTGCCAGACCTAAAACATAAATAAAAAAATAAAAAAAATAAAATGTGTACATTTTATTTTGTATCCAGGTTGAGGGGACATCAAAAAGAAGGTTACGGTTTATCTTGGAATCCTAATTTAAATGGCTACCTTCTGAGTGCTTCTGATGATCACACTATCTGCCTATGGGACATTAATGCTACTCCAAAAGAAAATAGAATTATCGATGCTAAAACCATTTTTACCGGTCATACTGCGGTTGTTGAGGTAACATACATTCAATAACTATTCTTTTATTCACATTGTACATCTAAATAATTGATTATTTGTAGGATGTTGCCTGGCATCTCCTTCATGAGTCTTTGTTTGGATCAGTAGCCGATGACCAAAAGTTAATGATCTGGGATACGAGGTCAAACAACACCAGCAAGCCCAGTCACACTGTGGATGCGCACACCGCCGAAGTCAACTGCCTGTCCTTCAACCCTTACTCTGAGTTCATTCTGGCCACCGGAAGTGCTGACAAAACCGTAGCACTCTGGGACTTAAGGAATCTAAAGCTCAAATTACACTCGTTTGAGTCGCACAAGGATGAAATTTTCCAAGTACAATGGTCCCCCCACAACGAGACCATCCTAGCATCTTCTGGCACCGACAGACGACTCCACGTTTGGGATCTGAGTAAAATTGGAGAGGAACAGAGTGCTGAGGACGCTGAAGATGGTCCTCCTGAATTACTGGTTAGTTAAGATTTAATCTTTCTCGTGGTTGTATTTACCAGTTTATAAGTTAAAGTAAATTATAATAAATTATTTCAATTTTTTAGTTCATACATGGTGGACACACAGCTAAAATTTCTGATTTTTCATGGAATCCCAATGAACCCTGGGTCATCTGTTCCGTCTCAGAAGATAACATCATGCAGGTACTTATGCTTTTATTATTAAAAAAAAAAAAGTATCAGAAAGTTACGTACTTTTGTATTATTCCTAGGTTTGGCAAATGGCTGAGAATATTTATAATGATGAAGAACCCGATGCTCCATCAACGGATTTGGAAGCGTCTGGAGTACCCTCATAATTTGAATTGCTTCAAGTATTTAAAAGAAAATAATTTTAATCCCATTCTTAATTTCATGTACAGTTCAGTGTAATTTTACAATTGATTGATGTCATTATGTTTTTATTGGAAAGTTTAAAATGAAGCAAATATATGTTTTCAACAAATCAACGATTCGGATGCGAAATTGACTATCATTGATAGATGATTTTGTATTTTTGAAATAACTACTACTTTTGGAATGGATTGAGCTTGATTTGTTTTGAAAATAGGCTGGAATGGATTTGTAATTTAATATTAATTAAGCAGTAATGTAAGTTTAAGATGGTGCTGTGATGATTTTTAATTTTACACACCTTCTAAAATTGAAGTGAGAGACTGTTGTTATTTTTTTTTCCAGTTGTGTAGTATCCTTTAGACATTAAGTTTATTAGACTGTACCAATAAATTAATTTAAATTTTTCTCTCTTTTTCTATTCTGATCTGTTTAAATATGTGGTTGCTTTTTTTTTGCACATTATACAAATGTTCACTAAGTGTTGGCAACATACTTGAATATCACTGGATGAAAAAAATAAAACAATTGTTTTTATAAATTTTGTAAAACGGTGCATTTTGCTCAATTGTAGACTAACTTTCAGCAATCCTGTTTCTGATATCCACTGCAAGTTGACATTTTTTTAATAATCAATTAGAAAAAGAAGCAATTCGCTATAATTTTAATTTCAGTTGCCCTTTATTTATTTTTTTTAAATGTATCCTTATTTTTTGGAATTTTGACCTGTTAGTTTAGACGGATCATGTAGAAACTAGTAGTCAAAACAGGTCTGGTTTATTAAGGAATGGGTGTACTGTATTCACAAGCTGGAAATTTTGGCGTCAAACTATCAAGGCAGATTCCCAAGGCAAGCAGACTAATACCAATATTGAATAATGCGTTATGTCTTAAATTTTTGAAATTGTTTTCCAAAATAAGTTGAAGAGTAAAGAGTTGTCTTCCTTTCAAAATGGATATCAGAATGGAGTGTCGATAAGAGATATGTTAAGAAAAGTAACTAATATTCAAGGCTTTGAAGATGATAAAGCTACCAATATGATCTTATGTGATCTGAGCAAAGACACAATCAATCATGAAATATTAATTTCTAAGGCAATTAGAATATTTTAGAATAAGAGAAAGTGCATTAAGTTTTTGCTCAAACTTTTTGAAAGGTTAGGAGTCAAGTGGCATCAAATAATAATACAAAATCTAGTCAATCAGAGGTGTTCCCCAAGGAGCAATACTTGGTCCAATTATTTACTTATTCGTTATATTGATATTACTGTTAAAGGATAATTTATTAATATTTCAATTGGCTGAAGATATACTTTTTGAGTAAGTGGGAAATGTCCAATTTAAAAATAGTGTGTCATTTTTATGTAAATCTGTTGGTTTTGAATAGAGAAAAAACAGTTTAAAAGTTTTGCATTACCAAAAATGGACAATACAACTAAATTTCTTGGTGTTACACATGACTGTTCTTTAAATGGCTCGAACAAATCGATATTTTTAATTTTATGTTTAAAAAAATTTGATACACTAATGAAAGTTATTATAGGGTTTATTCTAGGAGATGTATATATATGGTGTATCGGTATGGGCTAATAGATCATTGGCAGAAAAAGTGCTTATAATACAAAGTGTTGAAGATCATTTTTCACTAGCAAAAAAGTGATCACTGCAAACATTTGTGCAAGAATCTGGGAAAGGTCCTTGCTCTATTTGTATATCATACATTAAAAGATGACATAGAAAATCTTCCAAATGTTGCAGAAAAGTGAGGATACAAGACAGCACTGATCTACTAGGCAAAAACCAAGGTATCAAATGGTCCTTACATTGAAGGACTAAAAATGCTAAATATGCACGCTTTGTATAGATAGTGTGTAGGGCCAAGATTAATGAACAGAAAGGAAGTGTACAAGAGGGTAGAAGCGGAGGGATTAAAATCCTTGGCTAGTGACCGTATGAAGAATAATAATTTGTTTGTTGTTTGTAACCATTATTCTTCATATGACATTGCTTCAAGGATTTTAATCCTTTAATAACTTTGCTGTGATATATTGAGATATTTAAGTTTAGTCACCTTCAATAATTTTTAAATTAATTTACATTGATTGAAATATTTTTTATTAAAAAAAAATAAAATAAAAATTACATTTTGAATGGTACACAAAGCATAATGGCATGGCTAATTCCGCCTACCAGTGTTTGCCATTAAAAAAGAAAGAACTATTGATTAAGAGAAAATATTAATAGTTACTAGAATAGGAAGCAATTATTAAAATTAAAGATTAAAAAAACAAAAAGTTTGAAAAGAGCATTAATAACATTTATAATAGTAAAATGTGTAAAAAAACAAAAGAGGAATAAATGAAGTAATGGCTAATGCTGTCTACCAGTTTGTCAATAAAAAAAAAAGAGAAATTAATACATATCATTAAATTTGGTGTACCTTCCTATTTGGAAAATATTTTTAAATTTAGGTCAACTAATAGATTTTTAGTGCAACAACACAGTTGAAAGCATTTATTATTCTATATTACGGCAAGGGCCTGGTCGCCTGGAATGGCCTTCCTTTGGAGTACGCTCGATGCCTCCCTTGTGCAGAAGCTGTAGTTATGGAACAAAAGTCATAACCCTCCATCCTTCCTTTCCTTACTTCTAGCCGTTCCACAACCCTTTCCTCTTAAGGTATGTTTACATCTGATACTTTTGTCCGGTAATGTATGTCGAGTGACAGAGAAAATTGCTTTGACTGTTTACCTACTGATAGAAAGTTATATCATGGATATATATACGACAGTTCTCCAAATGTGAAATTTGGAAAATGTACGACCCGTTTACATGCAAGTTAGATTTTTGCGTACACTTGTGTCCTGTGTACTTGTAAAGCACTTTCATTTTGCACACAGTTGATTCTATCTTGACATGATGAAAGTCTCAAAACGCAAACTTGTAGTGGGGTTTTGAGACGTGAAAAAGTCAATGCCTACAATCAATTAATGTCTGAGCTCAGTATTGAAAATCCAGTCCAGTTTTTGAATTTTTGAAGAATGAAACCTGCTGATTTTGAAAAGCATGCTTGTAAAATAGGCCCCATTATGCCAAAGCAAGATACCAAATACAGAAAAGCTATTAGTGTAACAATGTCTTGCTATACCTGTAAGTTCGTGATTTTTAGTATCTATTTTATAGCTAGTAGCTAACCGAAGTTGTGAATTTTCGCTAAAAATGTCAGAAATGGTGAATTTTGTGTACCCCTTCACCTCCTAACTTCGAAAAATCGCCAAAAATGAAATTTTCGGCCGATCAGGCTTATTTTAATCTCATTCGACGCAGAAATTAACCCTCTACAGATGTTGTTTCGAGCTGTTTTACGGTCAGGCTAACGGTTTACTAACAATTTCAGGAATAAGGTCAAAAAACGTGGTTTTTCATGGTTTTTTGCCTGTAGCTCGGAACTGAAGGGTTTGCGGACACAGGCTCATAAGACCTTTTTTACTCAGCGTTCAATTTCCTATAAGATCTGGAAGTGTGGCTGAATCGATTGGGGCCACCCTGTATATCTGACCTAAATTCTTCACTGTTTACATTAGCTACGATTCCTGTGTGGCATAAATATGCAGTAACTGTCAGTTGTAAACGTGCCCATACATTTTCCCACATTGTCAGAAGGTATTCTCTTTATTGTTACATTTTAGACCTATGTTAAATATTTCCGTATTATTTGATATTTTTTTCTGAAAAGAGCATTTTTTTGGGTCCGCTTCTGTTCTCTTTTCTTATAAAAACCTTTGACATGTATGCTTTTGCACGAGATTGCTTGCCATAGAAAGAACAGGCAGATTATCCTTTAAAAAAAACATAAGTCAGTATAAATAAAAATAATATTGCCATAATACAAAATTTGAAAGGAGACGAAGTGTGGTGAGAGCGAACGGGTAATGAATGACGGATCGCATTCGTGAATGACATGGGCTGGTAATTTTTCTCCGGTTGGACCATGGGCGGTCCATGAATGAATGGGGCCGGGGGGCGAGTTCAAAGGGGCCGCCTATTCCAATCCCACACCTTTATTGTGGTAATTCCTTGGACCCACCTCAAACTCGGACACAACACAAATCACCTGTCTCCCCGATACACGGATACTCGGCGGAGGCTTTTTCACTATTTTCCACTTGTAGCAGACACAGGCACACTCGCTGGGAATTCTTAAACACGACAAACGAAAACAAATTGCCGCGGCTTCGTCTCTTCTTGCGACGACCTTTCATGGCCTGAGCCCTCCGACAACGGGCACACGGCGAGATAAAACGGACCCAGGAGTGATACCTAGCGAACTAAAACAGGGCGACATCATTGCACGTAGCAAGGAAGAAATTCTTCATTTTGTTCACGGTACACAGCTAAGACGATATTAGAGATTTGTATCCGTAGGGTGTTGAAGATTTATTTCTCCTCCCATTTGCATGTTTCTTGTAGTGCATGATGATGTGTTCGAGATCCTCTCAGGTAGGTGACGGGATTTTATTAAATCTGTTGAGATATCCCTTGCACAGTCCGTGATTGGATCTTAACCTTAATATTGTTTTGCAAAACGCCTTGGTTACATTAATTGCTTTGATGAACCAAGGTTCACCAACGGGAACATATTTTTGCATCTTATCCCTTTGTTATTCAATTTGCCAATCTATCTGCAGCTGTAATCGTAATATAGCATGAAGACCTTTTCTGAGTACAGGCACTTTTAAAGAATTGCCCCTTGTGGTGGTATCTTTGGCAAGCCGATATTCGACATCATTATGTTTGAACCCTGTATGGCCTTTGATCCAGATGATTACTATTTTATGCCATTTAGACCTGATCATTGCTCATCAAGGATTTCTATAATGATGAAGTCCGCAATATACAACTTTTTGTCATTGCGAAGTTTTTTAAATTTTTCATATATTGATTAACCCATAGGTTCTGCCGGGATTTGAAACCAGAACCAATAGCGTGACAAATACGAGTCGGATCCCCTACCACGGCCACCGCGATCTTCCATTATCTAGGTCAGGTCTTCCAAAACGTTTTAGCCAGCGGACCCCTTTCTCAGAACAAAATCCAGCTCGGAACCCTCTCATTCCAGTATTTATAATTAGATAGGTATTTATAGTATGTAAAGCACTGAACATATGCTTTACGGCCTTTTCATCAAGATTCATCTTACAATATCGTTAACCCACGATTTTATGAGGGTTTGAGCGATGGTATAAGCTTTACCTGCCTGTGCCACTCGATAAATTATCAAGTCTTTTTGTGAGTTTTCATTAACAGTTTTTGCATGAGTTTTAAAGAAGGTTTGAGAAGCAACCAGTTCAGTGCGCTTCCTCGTGAAAAATTAGACGGTTTCACCCAGCGTTTTGGGTGTGTACTTT